ATATGAATGTTAAAACTAAAGCACTGCGTTGGATTATTTCAGACGGGTCAGCTGTGTAGCAGCTAACAGAGAAAAGCTCAGCTAATCTCTTCATTAAAAAGGCTATCATGATAATGCACTTCACACGCGTGTGTGCGTGCCCTAAAATCCAATGAACAAAGAGGCACAAATAACTGAGATGATTCTCGTTTATTGAAGCTTTGTTTTGAAAACGCTGTAAAAACCTAATTAGTTTCATAAATTATGCTGTTCCAAACCCATCAGACCACATGTCTTCTGTAGGACTTAAAATAAGAAGCTTTAAAGAATGTTTAAGCTGCTCTTTTTCATCCAATTAAAGCAGGTGATGCTCTCAAAAAAAAAAATAACAAATTCAGCCGCATATGTATTTAATTAACACATAAATAACACGTCATGAAATGTAAAGCTGCAACACAGTAAATATTATATATTTATTTTATAAATAAATTTTAAATAGTAATACAAAAAATCAATGGAACTTCAAATCTAACTCGTTCGCTGAGCAAAATTGATGGCATTTTGCGTGATTTAGGTTTGGATGAGCATGAGGGTAAAGAGTAAATCCTTTTTTGACAGCATTATTTTTATGTACAAAATCCATTTATCACATGGTACAGAAAGTACCATCAGTGTTTCTCAACCACGTTCCTGGAAGACCACCAACACTGCATGTTTTGGATGTCTCCTTGGTCTGTCACACCCATTACAGCTCTTTCAGTCTCTGCTAATGAGCTGATGATCTGAATCAGGTGTGTTCGGTTAAGCAGACGTGGATAATGTGCAGTGCTGGTGGTGCTCCAGGATCGTGGTTGAGAAACTCTGATTTACACCACTTGCGCATGCTTTACATTTCACAGTGTATAACAGAGCTGAGATTTAAGCCTCAAACACACCAGTCAGTTTTAGAATCAGCCATCATCCGCGGGTAAATGCTAGGCCTTCCCTTTGTCCAGCTCCATCTGCGTGTCCTCTTGAATGCTGACGGATGTGTTGGGCTGACAGCAGTTCAGCTGATGCTCCTTCCAGTCCTGCAGGAACACACATCCAAGAGACTGGAGCTGGTTTGATATGGTGGTGCATTACAGTTTAATATGTTTAGATATAGTAACTGGTAACACTTTGCAATAAGGTTGTATTAGTTAATGTTAGTTTATGCATTTGCTACCACAAAGAAACAATGAACAATATATTTATTACAGTATTTGTTCATGTTATTTAGTGTAAATGCAGTTCATTGTTAGTTCATGTTAACGGTGCATTAACTGACGTCAACAAGCATGACTTTGGATGTTAATAATGTATTAGTAAAGGTTGAACTATGATTAATGGGCAAGTACTGTTCATACTTAGTTCATGGTAGTAAATACTTTGGCCATCATTAACTAATCAACCCTTATTGTAATGTGTGACCTAATAACTTTAACTGTTAAAAGCTATTAGTTGCTAGTTAATTAGTTAAAGTAATCAGTAACTAATTACTTTAACGTTTCCTGAGTTTGATTGTAATGCATTTATGTGCGCCTTTGGTAAAGCTGCTTTAAAACAACCAATATTGTGAAAAGAGCTACACTAATAATCATGAATTGAATTGAATGTTGGATCTAGACTCACCTTTCGCTGGCAGAAGCCGGAGCAGTAATGAACTTTATGGCAGCCTGTGCACTCACAGGACGCCTCTCGACCGCAGTTCACGCACGTGTGCTGAAACACAAACCACAGTAGTGTTAACCGTCAAATTTTGCAAGTCAGAGTTTGTCTTCTTGAATTCAAATTCGACGTCATTCATAGGTTAAGCGGTATACAACTTTTATATATGCTAATGCAGCGAAATTTAAAGTTGTGGTGATGCTGATAACAGATCATTCTTTGTATTTGGATGCCGATTACCGATATTTAGGCCAATAAATGTTTTTTTTCTGAGTTTGGCTTGATTTAGAATTTGACATCATATACAGGTTAAATAATATATATTTTGTATCTTTATTAAATTTAAAAAGAAGTTACAGATAACCAATTATTCTTTACCGATAATTCTTCATATTTGGAAGCAGATAATTTAAAATACAGTGGATAGCTATTTTTATTTTAAAATCTGACCTGAAATTCAAAAAACATTAATATATAAAAAACTATATGTTTCAGATTAGGTTCTGAAGATGCACTGGATTAGGGTTGGGCGATGTTGACCAATTTGGCATCGTACGATGTCTAATGTGGAAAATCGCAATGGACGATGCCGTCGTAGGCAGGGGGTGGGGGTGGTTGTTAAATATCAATTAGTTCATAACAATTTAATTGAAGCCTACCGTTTTCACTACCTGACCCACATGGTCTTTGCTTTACCCATATCCAAACCATAAATAAATAAAGTTACAAACAAATGACCACCTGTCAATCACTTTTTTTACACGGGACTTGAATAGCCACAGTGATCTGTGACGTTCTAATGGCTTTTCCCACAGGTGGTGGAGGAGAAGAGAGTTCGGTTGGAGTTCACTGTAGAGCATACATTTTCATTGTTTTCAAAATCCTCACCGCGTGCGCAGATTTAGGACACTTTATGCAAAATGCATCTTTGCACCAAAAAACGTCAAACACAGCCCTCAGGAACACATTAAACAGTTGTTATGTGAACTTGCTGAAGTAAAAAAACTGCAATGCTGGCCCCGCCTTTGTGCTCTTCAGTTTGCTATGAAAATGACTAAAGCCATTCACTAAAGTCTGTGGGATGGGGTTTGCAGGTAACAGCGTTTGCCACTGAATCTACACACTTTAAGCGCGAGAGGTGCTGTATAATCCTACATTTAATCCTCACGATGCTGTCAGCTGTGCAAGCGGCAGCTATATGTAACATTAAACACAGCTCATGAAAAGACCGTTATTGCTATTAGGATGACAAATAATAAGTTATATATGAAAATAAATGTGAGGAGGGGCGATGGATTGCGGGCTCAGCATTGTGAAGTTTTTCGGCCATCAGCGATGGACGATGGCATTGTCTACCGGCACAACCCTACACTGGACATAACAACACTGTATATGCGCCGTACACATATATTTTGAACCAGAAGTCCAATGCCAAAACCAAAAATATATATAAATCTATATTTTAATACATGAACCATTCAAATGATTAAGATTTTTCAAATCATAATACAATTACTAACTATAAAAATACTGTATTTGTCATTAAATAAATGCAGCAAATTTTTCAAAACTTACCAATAGCGTGTAATATTAAGGATAGTGCTGGATAAATATATACCATTAATATTAACATAATAAAATTTTTAAAAATCTAATACGGAAATAAAGCAGCCTGGGACGTTCTACAAAATATGCTGTATGTATGTGTATATTTTCCTATGCACTTTTAATAAGCAAAAAGAGGTTTTCTATTGACCTTTTCCAGCAGAGCGTGTGTGTGGATGTGTGTGTGTGTGTGTCTCAGCCCTTCAGCTTCTCATCTGCAGATTCTGATAGTCCTGCTTCACTCTCTGTCACATCTGAACAAAAACACCTGCCAAACACAGCAGGCGACCGAGTGTGACGGTCATATGTGCTTCCAGCTTGATCGTAACACACACACACATCTGAAAACATCAACTACATCAGCAGATGCCAGACATATTTCAACACTCAAAGCTTTGCTCCATTAAATCTGATGAGTTCAATATGGTCACAACATATGCAGAATACTAATTACAGCGTAGCTATATACTGTATTAATGATATTTAAAGAACACTAGACTTACCTTAATGATGATTTCTGTGATTTTTCCCTCAGGTTCCTCAGTGAGTGAAAACTGACTCTGAAATGACTGAGAGAAATACAAATAAAACACAAATATGTTAACCAATTTATATAATTTAGTTTTTCATATTAATTTGTCACACGTTTGAGGTCATTTTGCTACCGTAAACGCCCTCTGTTATTAGCTGACTGTTTACCAGAACTTTTACCATTTTTAACAGTGATCTGGGACATTATGGATAGTAATATTTATACTTAATATGTTGTAATGTAAAGCACATTAATAACAGGCTAATTTATGCTAGCAATGTGCTAAGTTCATGCTATTGTTGTGCTCATATTAATGGTATGCTAACCTTGCTAGAAACATACAACATATTAGCACACACTGTATGTTAGAAACATGTGAGCCACATGACAATAAATGCTAGCATGCTAATCTGTATTCATTTGTGACACGTTTGAGACCTTTTTGCTGTATAAACAATTCTGTTGAGAATAAAAGGTGTTTATGAGACAATATGAATAGTAATGTTGACCACTATTAATAACAACAGCATGCTTATGACATCTTAAATCAGACAGCATAGCAAAACATATGAAAACACTATGATAATGTTTTAAAACATTAATAACAGGCTTAATAATGCTAGCAATGTGCTAATTCATGCTAGTGCTGTGGTCACGTTAAGGGTATGCTGCTAACCATGCTACAAACATACAAGATATAAGCATTCACAGTATTAAAGGATGTTAGAAACATGTGGACCACATGACAATAAATGCTAGCATGTTAAACATGCTACAAATATGCTAGTACTGAGTAAAATGTTTTCAACAAGTTAATTGATGTTTTAAGATCAAACATTTTAGCCATCCCTACTAAAAAAAACAGCTTAAACCAGCCTAGGCTGGTTGGCTGGTTTAAGCTGGTCGACCAGGCTGGTTTTAGAGGGGTTTTGGCCACTTCCAGGCTGGTTTCCAGGCATTTCCAGCCTGGTTTTAGCTGGTCAGGCTGGGAGATGACCAGCTAAAACCAGCTTGACCAGCTTAGCCAGGCTGGGAGCCCAGCCTAAACCAGCTATGTCCAGCTTAAACCAGGCTGGTCAAGCTGGTTTTAGCTGGATTTAGCTGGTCATTTTCCAGCCTGACCAGCTAAGACCATGCTGGAAATGGCTGGAAACCAGCAGGGATATGTGCTAAACAAGACTATTAAAGTTCTACTAACAAGCTAATTAATACTAACAGCACAATAAACATAGCAGAAACATGCTAATTCTTGTTAGCAATGAACTCAAACATGCTTGAAATACATTAGCTTTTTCTCAAAGTTGAACTTTACAGAACATTCGCCTGTATTAAAGGGCTGCTATTTTACCTCTTTTGCAAGATGCAAGTCTTTGGTGTCTTCACAATGTGTCTTTAAAGTTTTAGGTTAAAAAGCTCATCAGATGATTTATTTTACAATGCAAAATATGCCCATTGTAGGATCAGAGAAAAGTGTGACTGTTGCCTTTAAATGCAAATTAGCCCCCCCCCCCCCCCCCCTTTCACACATGTATGTCTGCTTCTCCTGCATTACATCAGATAAACAGTAGTGATGGGAAGTCCGGATCATTTTATTGACTCTAATCTTTCATCTCGTTCATCGAGATGAACGAATCTTTCTTCGATTCATTTCGGTCATTTGGTTCAACTTGCCAAAATATTATTAAAATGTTACGAATTGCTTCCAAACACTGCTACAACTAGCCCAAAAGGGAATAACTCAAACCCAAAGACTCGGATCAAATCTCTTTCCGGCTCTAAATGGATTTGATCCGTTCTCGTAGTTCCCGAGTCATATTGAAGATACGTTTAAAATGAACGAATCGTTCAAAAACAACCCATCACTAATAAACAGCAGTCAGTACCAGAGACAGGCATGAATGAAGCAGACTTCCAGCTCATTAGTCAAAAATACCAATCAAGGTTATTTATTGTATTTGTGGAGGAGTTTGTTCAAGCCTTTCTGAAACGATGAGTCACATACTAATTCAATTACAAAGTTTGCAGTACACACACACACATATGTTTGCCGACACTATGCAGCTGTGGTGATTCCAGTGGTTATTACAAACATGCCCTATTTTAAAAACTTGTAAAACTCATTCTTGAGGTGCAGCTGATCATAGAGAGTTAAACAGATCTTTTAATCCCAGTTTCTTTGCAAATCCTGTTTTGTGGAAATGTTTACACGCGCTTGTCAATCAATACTCCTATGTCACGTTGCAGTGGTGGGCCTCAAAATCACTGGGATTTGGATCCTATTTTAATGTCAGGATTGGTCATATTTGCTCACCTCTTTTCTGCCGCTGCTGTTTTTGTCCGGGCTGATGGTAGCGTGTGCTCCGCTCTGACTGGCTTGTTTGGCTTGTGCGATGAGGACTTTGAGTTGCTGGACGTTGCTGAGCAGGGTGTTCGCCATCTCCTCCAGGTACAGCCATGTGCGCTGCTCGCCCGTCTCCAATCCATTCAGTAGCGTACCGGCCGGAGGAGGTTTAGATTGAACCACAGCCTGCTGAGGAACCACCGCCAGCGCTGGAAGAGTGGTCAACACTGAAGAGAAAAACAAAACACAACTATTCAAAAACACATGCTAGCAACATGCTAACAGTCTTGTATAGTTTTTTTAAAGACAAAGCCACAAGTTGCTAAGTAAACCAGTTTTTAAAAAGCCAGTTTTGGTTTAGTTTCCACCTTGGTCAAACCTAAACGCGGATTGTGACTTTAGAAACATCTTAATACATGCTAGCAACATGCTAACAAATTTGTGTAGTGTTTTTTAAAGACAAAGCCACAGTCTGCTCAGTAAACCAGTTTAAAAAAAGAACAATTTTGATTTAGTTTCCGCCTTGGTCGTACCTAAAAAACACACTGTGACTTCAGAATGAGGGATGTGCTGATACACCACTGCTAGAAGCCTAGCCTGAGCGATTGAAATGTTCCTGTGGGACGGCTGTGTTTGTAGAGGTGAACCAGAACTCTGACAGGTACAACCTTGACGAGTACATTTACAGTCCGTCCTCATCCGATCTCCCTTTAACCCTGACCTACATTCACTTTAAAAGCTTTTGTTATAAAAAAAAGGCCAAGCGGGTTGGAAAATATGTGCCGGACAGACAGAAGAGGACACATTCAGCGTCTGGGTGTGTTTTAATAACGTCCCGGAAGCGACCCAGACGAACACAGTGTGAATCTCAATGCTGTCGAGGAAATTTGTGTTTAAACAAATACAATATCCGACCCTCTGATGGTACAGTAAACATCTGTGTAGTTGATTACGTGGTTTACGAGAACACTAATTTGTATAATGACATGGGCATGACCTAGTTGTACTCTATTAATGTGGTTTACGAGGATACTGATTTGTATAATGACATGGGTATGATCTAGTTGTTCTCTATTAATGAGGTTTATGAGGACACTAATTTGCATAATGACATGGGTATGACCTAGTTGTACTCTATTAATGTGGTTTACGAGGCCACTACTTTGTATAATGGCTTAGTTATGACCTAGTTGTACTCTATTAATGTGGTTTACGAGGCCACTACTTTGTATAATGGCTTAGTTATGACCTAGTTGTACTCTATTAATGTGGTTTACGAGGACACTAAATTTGTATAATGGCTTAGGTATGACCTAGTTGTACTCTAATACAGTGGTTTACAAGGACACTGATTTATATAATGGCATAGGTATGACTTAGTTGTACTCTATTAATGTGGTTTATGAGGACACTAATTTGTATAATGACATAGGTTTAACCTAGTTGTACTGTATTAATGTGGTTTACGAGGACACAACAGATTTCCTTGTAATATAAATTACTTAAAAATCATACTTAACGGCGTCTTTTACCATCTAAATTTTGTTGCAGTTTCCTGCTGTGAGGGTTAGATTTAGGAGTAGGGTTGAAGAAGGGCCATAGCGATTATAAATTGATAATAGAGATTTATAAAATACTACTAAACCATAAAAAAAAGAGTTTTAATTAAATTAAATTGAATTTTTATACATTTTTGTTTGCAACATGAACAAATTTGATCTACAAAAATAACACAATCCAAAATAAATATTTAATCCTAACAGTACTTTATGGTTAATTATTATATTATATTACATTATATTATTAATTTCTTGTCGTCTCAGTCCCTTTATTAATCTGGGGTCGCCACAGCGGAATGAACCGCCAACTTATCCAGCAAGTTTTTACGCAGCGGATGCCCTTCCAGCCGCAACCCGTCTCTAGGAAACATCCACACACACAACGGACAATTTCACGCGAAGGCAGGGAGAACATGCAAACTCCACGCAGAAACGCCAACTGAGCCGAGGTTCGAACCAGCGACCTTCTTGCTGTGAGGCGACAGCACTACCTACTGCGCCACTGCCTCACCCCTTAAATTATATTATATTATATTATATTATATTATATTATATTATATTATATTATATTATATTATATTATATTATATTATATTTAACTCAAACTAAAGAAATTAGCTAGCTCTCAGCAACTCTCACATGGTCGCCCACTAAAGCTAAGCAGGACTGCACCCGATCAGTACCTGGATGGGAGACCCCATGGGAAAGCTAGGTTGCTGCCGAAAGTGGTGTTATTGAGACCAGCAGGGGGTGCTCAACCTGTGATCTGTGTGCGTAAAAATGCCTCCTTATAGTGAAGAGGACTCTATACTGCTCAGTGAGTGCCGTCTTTCTGATGAAACGATAATCCAAGGTCCTGACTCTCTGTGGTCGTTAAAAATCCCAGGATGTCCAACGAATAGAGTAGGGATTTAACCCCGGCATCCTGGGCAAATTTGCTCACTGGCCTCTGTCCGTCATGGCCTCCTAACATCCCCATATCATAATTGGCTCAGCTGGTTTGCGGTCTGGCGCAATATGGCTGCCGTCGCGTCATCCAGGTAAATGCTGCACACTGGTGGTGGATGAGGAGATTACACTTAAAATGTGTAAAGCGCTTTGAGTGTCCAAAAAAGCTCTATATAAATGTAAGGAATTATTATTATTATTATTATTATTACTACTAAAACAATAAAACCAAATGTTTTTTTTAAATAAACAATACCTGTATTAAAAATAAAAATTAATTTAACCTATTTCAGCAAATTAAAAAAATAAATAAATATATATATATATACACAATTAAAAAACAAAAATTGACAAATAAGAGAATAAAATATAAAAAGTATAATAAAACAACTTTCTCACATAGGTGAAACTATATCAATATTTAAAAGTAATTTAGAGTTAAAAAGCACATGAGTTCAAACTGTCTGACACCACTTCTACATTAATCCTTGATAGACATGAGTATATTTGAGCAGTTTTCTGTGGCAGAGCTGAATTTTGCTGTAGTATTATGGTGCAGGGCTACAGACACACTTTATTTTACAGTTATTCTCTTGAATCAGTCTGAGTGAGTCGAGGTCAGGGCGCTCTAAAAGAAAAGTGCTGAAGCATTCCGCTCAGTCTTTTCCGGCACGCACAACCTGACAGAGATAAAACGAAGGCGAGAACGATCATCTTCTGAGACAGAGACACGCTGAATCGCACGTCACGCTGCCAAGAGAAACACCTCCACAGAAATCAAGACTGAACACAAACCCTCATCCTGTCTTATCTTGAACAACAAGACTAGAAAGACAACGACAATATACTGTTAATATATACAGTGATGTGTGGAATCAATTGCACAATTCATAGTTTTGTACATCACATATTGGCATAATTTGATGTATTCCTGAGTAAAATATAATTTGCACTGTAAAGTTATATGCTAGAAAAATTAAATTATTTAAACTGCTAAACCTGCTGGCAACAGTTGTAAATCATGTTAGCAATGTACAAAAACATGTTATCAGTGCTTTAAAATATTAGCAATGTGCTAAAACATGTAAACAACTCTCTAAATATAAGGCAATTAGTTTTATGGCATATTATGTACTTTAAGCAATGTACTAAAACATGCTAGTAACATGCTATTAGTGCTTTAAAATAATAGCAATGTGCTAAAACATGTAAACAACTCTCTAAATATAAGGCAATTAGTTTTATGGCATATCATGTACTGTAAGTAATGTACCAAAACATGCTAGTAACATGCCATTAGTGCTTTTAAATATTAGCAATGTGCTAAAACATGTAAACAACGCTCTAAATGTATGGTAATTAGTATTATGGCATATCATGTACTGTAAGTAATGTACTAAAACATGCTAGTAACATGCTATTAGTGCTTTAAAATATTAGCAATGTGCTAAAACATGTAAACAACTCTCTAAATATAAGGTAATTAGTATTATGGCATATCATGTACTGTAAGTAATGTACTAAAACATGCTAGTAACATGCCATTAGTGCTTTTAAATATTAGCAATGTGCTAAAACATGTAAACAAGTCCCTAATATATGGTAATTAGTATTATGGCATATCATGTACTTTAAGTAATGTACTAAAACATGCTAGTAACATGCTATTAGTGTTTTAAAATATTAGCAATGTGCTAAAACATGTAAACGACTCTCTAAATATATGGTAATTAGTATTAAGGCATATCATGTACTGTAAGTAATGTACCAAAACATGCTAGTAACATGCTATTAGTGCTTTTAAATATTAGCAATGTGCTAAAACATGTAAACAACTCTCTAAATATATGGTAATTAGTATTAAGGCATATCATGTACTTTAAGTAATGTACTAAAACATGCTAGTAACATGCTATTAGTGCTTTAAAATATTAGCAATGTGCTAAAACATGTAAACAACTCTTTAAATATATGGTAATTAGTATTATGGCATATCATGTACTGGAAGTAATGTACTAAAACATGCTAGTAACATGCTATTAGTGCTTTAAAATATTAGCAATGTGCTAAAACATGTAAACAACTCTTTAAATATATGGTAATTAGTATTATGGCATATCATGTACTGTAAGTAATGTACCAAAACATGATAGTAACATGCTATTAGTGCTTTAAAATATTAGTAATGTGCTAAAACATGTAAACAACTCTCTAAATATATAGTAATTAGTATTATGGCATATCATGTACTGGAAGTAATGTACTAAAACATGCTAGTAACATGCTATTAGTGCTTTAAAATATTAGCAATGTGCTAAAACATGTAAACAACTCTTTAAATATATGGTAATTAGTATTATGGCATATCATGTACTGTAAGTAATGTACTAAAACATGCTAGTAACATGCTATTAGTGCTTTAAAATATATGCAATGTGCTAAAACATGTAAACAACTCTTTAAATATATGGTAATTAGTATTATGGCATATCATGTACTGCAAGTAATGTACTAAAACATGCTAGTAACATTCTAGTAGTGCTTTTATCTATTAGCAATGTGCTAAAACATGTAAACGACTCTCTAAAGACATAGTAATTACATACCGGAACACTAGCATTTTATTAAAGTAATAAAAACCTGCTAGTTAAGTGCTAAAACTAAAGAATATCGTGTTAGCAATGTATTAGAATTTGCTAATAACATTATATTAATGCTCTAAAACATTAGCAATGTGCTAAAACATGCAAACAACTCTCTAAATACATGGTAATAAGTATTATGGCATATCTTGTACTGTAAGTACTGTACTAAAATATGCTAGTAAGTGCTTCGAAATGTTAGCATTTAAAATTTTGTGCTAAAACATGTAAACAACTGCCTAGAAAACTATACAGGAACAACATTTTAACAGGAATCACAGTGTTAAAACATGCTAACAGAGTGCTAACAGATATTTCAAGCATGTTAACAACATGCTAAATCATGCAAGTAATGAGGTATATCATGTTAGAACTAATGATGTTAGTAACATGCTACTAATGCTCTTTAATACACTGTAGCACTATGTTAAATCTGTAGTTTGGAGGTGTTAAATGGGTTTGGACGCTCTAAGAATGCCTGACCCCATATCAGGACAGACCCGACGTGTCCTCTGTTCCACAAATGTGCCAGTTAACAGAAGTCACCCCAACTGGACAGGGTACAAAAAAATGCAGGACAACTCATTATCCAAGACTCACGCTGGGCTCAAAATGGCCTCCGTCTCGCACAAAGAGGCCTAAAAATAACAGGGCTTTTGTTTAGAGCCAAAAAAGAGGCCAGAACTGGGCTTACGAGAGGGAGAGGACATGATCACAGACGGACCGCCGGCAGACCAGTCACTGACCCTCTGATACGAAACACACACACTACTATAAAAAAAAACATCCTTAAATTTACGGTAGAAAATGGCAAATGAGAGTTAACCCCAAAGTTGATCCCAAATAAAGTTCAAGCTATTTTTTGTTAGTCTCAAAACAACAAAAAGGCGTGTATGTGTATGTGTGTGTGTGTGTGTGTGTGTGTGTGTATGTGTATGTATATATATATATATATATATATATATGTATATATATATATATATATATATATATATATGTGTAAATATATATATATATATATATATATGTATATATATATATATATATGTGTGTGTGTGTGTGTGTGTGTGTGTAAGCGTGACCCACCGGTGGTGTTAGTGTAGACGTCAGGGGCTGCAGGGCTGTCAGAGATGATGGAGGCTGTTTCTCCTGACGCCGATCGGTCGAAACTCAGCGTTCCTGATGTGCTGATCTGACCAGACGGAGACACTGTAACTGCAGCACACACACACACACACACACACACACACAATTCATCAAACTGAGTTTTATGAACCACGTCACTACACTCGATATCACACCCGAGAGTCATCAACAGCAATATTAATAATATATGCGTCTCTGGATACTGCTGGTGACGCAAAACAATTGATTTCAGCCATTCTGTGCAGGTCACGAACCAAAAACTGCAATGCAAAGACAACTTATTATGTTAATTTGGCTGACATTATTAATCAAAGTAATGATAATGTGAATAATAATAATCTTTTTGCTATAATAAAAGACAAAAAATGACGATGAACTCATTTCAAAAGAGGGCGGAGCTACAGATGCCTGTGTGTCAGCATAGTGGCAGATTCAAAAACAAGATTACCGTCCTATGCTAATGAGGGGGAGATGGTCACCAGTGGGCGGGGCATTCCGCCTCTGATGACACGTACAAAAGGAGAACGTCAATCAAAGTGTTTCTGCAGACTGTTTCTATCAAGTGTGATTATAAAAGATTAAATTAATACATTTGTACCATTAGAAGCTGATTATATTCACACACTGCTGACACACAACTGTGTTTAAACCCCTTATAAATGTGATTTTTGCATAATAGGTGCCCATTTACAACTAAAATACAGAAATCTGGATGTGAATCGGTGTGTGTGTGACCAGACACTCACACGTGGCTCCAGGAGCGAGGGTGATGTTTTTAGGAGACTGAATCTCCTTCTTATTATCAGGAGACGCTGCTCGTTCATTGTCCTTCTTCCTGCGTTTGTAGGGGACGAAGAGTCGCACGGGGCCCGTCTGTACACACAACACTGAGTTACTCTCAGAAGACACACATAAAAGCTCACTCTAAATATTACTGAAGGACATTACCATACTGAGGCTCTCCTGGCCGTAAGAGCCCTCTTTAGTGCACTGGAAGAGAAACAGACAAACAAAATAGAGTCAAATATATTTACAAAACCCATACAGTTTAGTTAGTGCAGACCACAAAACATATCGGACTGAAAAGAATTGGACTAATACATTGAAAAAAAGTCAAACTACTGCATCTTTTACATTATTTATATTGGATTAAAGTGAATATATAGAGTAGAAATAACTTTTTATTAAGATTTATTTTTTCCCAATTTTTCTTTAACGATTGGAAGATTTTTCCAACACATTTCTAAACATAATAGTTTTATTAACTCATTTCCAATAACTATTTTAGTTAGAAGCATGAGCACACATTGATTTGCACCCCATAAACACAACCAAGCCTTAAGAATATACTCTGGACCTTCCCATTTAAAGATTTAGGGCTTTATTTTGACGGTCCATGGGGAGAGTGCAAAACGCAGGGCGCAAACGCTTTCAGGGCGTGTCAGGACGCGTTTTTGCTAATTTAAGGACGGAAAATCTGCCTTGCGCTATGGCGCATGGTCAAAAAGGGTTGAGTTTATTTTCTTAATGAGTTATAGTTGTGTTTTGAGAATAAACCAATCAGAGTCTCATCTCCTATTACCTTTAAGAGCCAGCTGCGTCGCGCCAAGAGCGCATTCGCTATTTACAGAACGCAAAGTAAGTCTAAGTGGAAAAAATGAGCATTTCACAAGCAAACAGTAAACAGTTAACAGCTTTTTTACAGAAAACTGTTAAACAGAGCATCTACTGCGTGAGAATGAGAGATAACAGATCTACTTTCACATTCGCTCTTGGATAGGGAAACCTTTACGCACAGACATCAATTAGTCTATAAATAAATAATTTAGTTTGTTAAGCGAAAGATTTGTTTCAAAACTATTACTAAATTCAGTTCTAATTTCCAGCAAACGAATAAATGAACAATAATAACAAAGTGTGGTCAAAATACTGAGTTATTTCCAAATACACATGCTGTGCCCCATATGGTCTAAAACCTGACAGGTGGGCAAATCTAAGCTTGTTTTTAATAAAACTTATATAAATATGGATATAATAAATAATACTGCTAATAATAATAACATTATACAAAAGTAACTTGAATGAACTGAAAAAGCCTTCCGAGATGAAGAAAGTAAAAAGGCAGTGGTTTTTAAATTACTGTAGGCTAGAAATTAATATGTTTTGTAATATTTTAATAATTTATATTTATATCCTATATATATCCTTAATATATTATATCTTTTTCATATGTAAAGATATGTAGTGTGTAAGCCAGGCGCACTTTGCGCCAGACAATAGACCGACTTTGTTCTGGTCTAAAGATCTGATTATTTACAGTTTCTCAAAATAGCAACGCGCCAAAACATGCCTGCTTTTGTAGACCAGAACGCCTATGGGCGCACATTTGAGCGCAAATGCATTTGCTATTTAAACAGCGTAGCGCAACGCCTCAAAATGACCCTTGCGCCAAGCTTAAAGTAGTAAAAGACTATTGCGCTGCGCCTTGCACCCCATTGCGCCGGGTGTATGATAGGGCCCTTACAGTTTACTTAGTTTATTTACTTTGCAGATTCTTTTGTTTGTTATTTTGGCCAGTGGCCACGCTGAAGAGATGCTCATTTAAATTGCTACTTTTTTCAACAGATAAATCTATTAAAAATTGCTTAAAGGGGCTAATAATATTGACCTTAAAATGGTTTTAAAAAATTAATAACTGCTTTTATTCTAGCCGAAATAAAAAAAAATAAGACTTTCTCCAGAAGAAAAAATAGTATAAGAAATACTGGGAAAAATTCCTGAATCTGCTAAACATCATTTAGGAAATATTTAAAAAAGAAAAAAAAGTCACAGGAGAGCGAATAATTCCGACTTCAACTGAACATATAGGGCTCTATTTTGATGGTCCATGCGCAAAACAGAAAGCGCAGGGAAAATCCATATTTTCTAATATAAGGACGGGAATATCCGCTTCGCACCGTGGCGCATGGGCTAAAAGGGTTGAGTTTATTTTCTTAATGAGTTAGAGGTGTGTTTTAATAATAAACCAATCAGAGTCTCATCTCCCATTACCTTTAAGACCCAGCTGCGTCGCGCCATAAGCGCATTTGCTATTAACATGACGTAAAGTAAGTTCACTTTCACTTTTGCTCTCGTGGATAGGGAAACCTTACCGCACAGACATCAATTAGTCTATAAATAATTAATTTCGTTTGTTAAGCGCAAATATTTGTTTTAAAACTATTTCTAAATTCAGTTCTAATTTCCAGCAAACGAATAAATTAATAATAATAACCAAGTGTGCTCAAAATACTGAGTTATTTCCAAATACACATGCTGTGCCCCATATGGTCTAAAACCTGACAGGGGAGCAAAATTCAAGCTTGTTTTTAATAAAACTTATATAAATATGGATATAATAAATAATACTGCTAATAATAATAACATGACACAAAAGCAAATTGAATGAACTGAAAAAGCTTCCCGAGATGAAGAAAGCATGAAGGCAGTGGTTTTAAAATGACTGTAGGCTAGAAATTAATGTGTGTTGTAATATTTTAATCATTTATATTTATATCCTTTATATCCTTATTATATATATATCCTTAATATATTATATCTTTTTCATATGTAAAGATATTTGCGTATTGCTCTACATCTTGTTTGTAGTGTGTAAGCCAGGCGCACTTTGCGCCAGACAATAGACCGACTTTGTTCTGGTCTAAAGATCAGACTATTTACAGTTTTTCAAAATAGCAACGCGCCAAAACACGCCTGCTTTTGTAGACCAGAACGCCTATGGGCGCACATTTGAGAGCAAATGCATTTGCTATTGAAACAGTGTGGCGCAACACCTCAAAATGACCCTTGCGCCGAGGTGAAATAGCAAATAGCAATTGCATTGTGCCTTGCGCCACATTGCATGACAGGGCTCATAGTCTTCTACTATTTTGGTGTCAGTTACAATAACCCAGGTCAGCTGTATGATTATGATTAATGAGATTGAATCACCGTGTCACTCACTGTAGAAAGATCATCACAGCAGGCGGCACACGTGCAGGACGCTGCATGAGGGTTCAGGATACGCTCCTGTTAGAACACACACACACATATATCAGAAACAAACAGACACACAAACATATATAAAAGTTATTGAGCACTATTTTGACGGTCCATGCGCAGAGCGCAAAGCGCAGGGCGCAAACGCTTTTAGGGCGTGTCAGAACGCGTTTTTGCTAATTTAAGGACGGGAAATCTGCCTTGCGCCATGGCACATGGTCTAAAAGGGTTGAGTTTATTTTCTTAATGAGTTATAGGTGTGTTTTGAGAATAAACCAATCAGAGTCTCATCTCCCATTCCCTTTAAGAGCCAGCTGCGTCACGCCAAGAGCGCATTCGCTATTTACAGGACGCAAAGTAAGTCTAAGTGGAAAAAATGAGCATTTCACAAGCAAACAGTAAACAGTTAACAGCTTTTTTACAGAAAACTGTTAAACAGAGCATCTACTGCGTGAGAATGAGAGATAATGGATCACTTTCACTTTCGCTCTTGGATAGGGAAACCTTTACACACAGACATCAATTAGTCTATAAATAATTAATTGTGTTTGTTAAGCGCAAATATTCGTTTTAAAACTATTTCTAAATTCAGTTCTAATTTCCAGCAAAAGAATAAATTAATAATAATAACCAAGTGTGCTCAAAATACTGAGTTGTATCCTAAAACACATGCTGTGCCCCATATGGTCTAAAACCTGACTGGTGGGCAAATCTAAGCTTGTTTTTAATAAAAGAAATATAAATATGGATATAATAAATAAAACTGCTAATAATAATAACATTATACAAAAGCAAATTGTTATGAATGATCTGAAAAAGCCTCCCGAGATGAAGAAGACATAAAAGCAGTGATTTTTCATATTTATGTAGGCTAGAAAATAATATGTTTTGTAATATTTTAATCCTTTATATTTATATTCTAAATCTATTCTTATTATATCCTATATATATCCTTAATATTTACATTTTTTCATATGTAAAGATATTTGTCTATTGCTCTCTTGTGTGTATTAAGCAGTGTGTAAGCGAGGCGCAACTTTGCGCTGGAGTTTAGACCGGGTTAGTTTTGGTCTAATGAAAAATCTATCATAGTTTCTCAAAATAGCAACGCACCAGCGGTCCGCCTCAGAACACCTTCCTTTTTAGACCAGAACGCCTATGGGCGCACATATAAGCGCTAATGCATTTGCTATTTAAACAGCGTAGCGCAACGCCTCAAAACGACTCTTGCGCCAAGCTGAAACTACCAAAAGACTATTGCGCCACGCCTTGCGCCACACTGCGCCGGGTGTATGATAGGGCCCATTATGTCTAAGCAAAGATAGACTCAGATCCTCTTATTGCAGTTGTAGGCATTACTGATTTTGAGATAGCTAAAAACAGTACAAAACTAAATAAAGGTCCATTTATCAGTCTACTAGCAAAAAAGTTAATATCAATAAACTAGAAACAGAAAGCTGCTCAGCGGGGGAAATGAGTATTGAACACGTTGTGTTTTTTTCCTGGGGATAATATTTCTAAAGAAGCTGTTGACATGGAATTAAAGCAGATTTTAGTAAAAACCCAAACAATACAAACATAAAAATAAACAAAACAACAATCTGAAAAATGAGTTCTGTGTGATAAAGAAATGACACCAGGAGAAAGTGCTGAACTACTGGAACGTATTTAACCCTTTATATTAAAGGCTTTTTTGGTGATGGCAGCTTTAAAGACGCCTCTCATATGGAGAATGAAGTCACATGATTTGCTCACAGACTTCAACAGAGTGTCAAAATCTTGAGGGTTCTGTGAGTCTCGTCTATTAAATCTGAGCTTTATTTTGTATTGTCTACTGGATTCGGTTTCAGGTGATTGGCTGCGCCATTCTACAGCTTGATTTTCTTTCTCTGAAAGCATTTGAAAGTTTCCTCGTCTGTGTTTAGGATCATTGTCTTTCTGAAATGGGTTCATCCTCATCACCCTGCTAATGTAGATGTTGGACTGAAGCAGCAGATATTCATTTACACTTAAGAAGAGCAGAGGGTTGCTGAAGAACTACTAAGAGATTTCAGCTGCTGTCTGGGCTTTCACTAAATAAATACACCTTCCTTTCTTCATGTGTTCAATACTTTTTCCCCGTGTCATTTTATTTTATTACACAGAACTTCATTTATAAACTAATTAGATTTGTTTGTTTTTTTGCTTATATGGATTTCTTTGTTACATACAGGGAAAATTTTAATTTAATTTCTCCCTAAAAAAGAAATAATTCTATAATATCTGGCAACCTTTCCTAAATTATTTAAAAAGATAAATTCTACAATAAATAGTTAAATTAAAAAGGATTAGACTAAATTAGACTAAAACTGAAGGTCAGTATTTTTAAATACTTATTATTTTTATTATAATAATTTACTTACTGTTTTTGTCTATTATTATTTAACTTTCTTATGTATTGTTTATATATTGTATTTTTTATTGTTAAATGTTGTGTACATGTTTGTTGGACCAAAATTTGTAAGTCAATGTGTTTGAATATTTAAATAAATTATTTAAAAGAATTATGTCTATAGGGAGTCCCCATAAAACTTGAAAACCCAACATGTGTGCGCGTGTGTGGGACCTGAATGAGACACTGTAAAGGTCGTCCAGCGTAGCGGATGCTTCTCTTCCAGTCTTTGCTGCTTGCTCTGCCTGACATCCCCTCAAACTCAGTCGGCGTGTACCAGCTATTGTTGTGTTTGATACAGCGACCTTTACCCCCTGCAGATGAAGGTTAAAGATCCATCACAAAGTTTTAACATTTCATTTTACAGATAAATTATTACTGTTATTATCATCATTGTAATCATCATATTTTACTTGTTTTTATTTCAGAATAGTTTTATATTTAGTCATTTAGTGTTTTTATTTCATACCAATATTTCAATAATGCTCAATAAGAAAAATAATTATTAAAAATAATAATATCATCATAAAGAATAACAATATTACTGCAGCATATGTAACATGATTATACATGAATTTGAATAGTTTAATAATAAAATAAATTTAGTAATTTATTATTTTTTATTTTGTACAAATATTCAAAAAATTACTAAATAATTTGTAAAAGTAAGACAACACAACATTTCAGTAGATTTAAGACTGTAAGGCCTAAAATTTGGATTTTTAGATTTAAGACCCCGCAGAAACCCTGTTTTATTATTATTTCTTTGTATTATTTTTACAGTCATTAATATATATATAACATTTTGTTAATGTTTACATTATTAGCTACATAATCAAATAACTATAATAATAATGATAATATTTTTCTGCACATAATGCTACATAACATGAGATGAGATGTAAAAGCCTCCAAGTGACGTCTGAAATATTAATATATTTTATATAATATATATATATATATATATATATATATATATATATATATATATATAATCTTTAAATTCTCAGCCTCATGTACATACAGTTGGAGTCAGAATTATTAGCCCCCCTGAATTATTAGTCCCCCTGTTTATTTTTTCCCCAATTTCTGTTTAACGGAGAGCAGATTTTTTTTCAACATTTCTAAACATAATAGTTTTAATAACTCATCTCTAATAACTGATTTATTTTGTGTTTGCCATCATGACAGTAAATAATATTTGACTAGAATTTTTTCAAGACACTTCTATACAGCTTAAAGTGACATTTAAAGGCTTAACTAGGTTAATTAGGTTAACTAGACAGGTTAGGGTAATTAGGCAAGTTATTATAAAACGTTTTTTTAGACTATCAGAAATAAAATTAGCTTAAAGGAGATAATAATTTTGTCCTTTATATTATTTTAAAAAGATTAAAAACTGCTTTTATTCTAGCCGAAATAAAACAAATAAGACTTTCTTCAGAAGAAAAAATATTATCAGACATACTGTGAAAACTTCCTTGCACTGTTAAACGTCATTTGGGAAATATTTTAAATAGAAACAAAAATTTAAAGGGGGGCTAATAATTTTGACTTCAACTGTATATGTAGGGTATATGCACAAGTATGCGGAAGGACTTTTAATTTGTCAGTAACCTGGGTTAACCGCTTCCAGTGAACTGTATGCAGTTACAAAATCAGCGCGTTTAAGGTCTGTTTTCTTTAAAAGTCAGCGATCTCCACTGGCTGAGAGATATCCGATATAAAGAGGGCCTCAGATTGTACAAGACGCACTGCATTAGATTACATTTTCCCCTCTCCATGTCTTTAAAATAAGAACATTTACTGCCAATCCTGATGAGTGCATGAGAGTAAACAGCTTTTCATCTGGTTTTACCCTTGAGCAAGTACCCTATTCATTTATTTCACTTCAAAGGCAATGAAAATAACGTATTAATCATCATAAAATAAAAATTACTGAACCTACTACACACATAAAAGCCTAAAAAAGTCCTTATTTTAGAAGAAAAAGAGGCTTTGACGTCTGAACGCTTCATGAATAGTCATCTGGCGCCCTCTAGTGGTGTGTATGTGTTTGTGTAACATTTCAAGACACAAATGTGAATTATGACATAAGTTTTAAAAGAATGTGGTGAATTATGAGGATATATTCTTGCTAAAATACAGTTGTACAATATAGAAACAATGTAAGCCTATGCAATGTCCCCACAACTGACAAAAAACAAACCAGTGTGTGTGTCTCTGTGAATTTATTTTCATATCCCTACAGGGATTTAAACCTGAATGCACACAGACTGGTCGTGACACATGTCACCATGATAACCAACACTGTGGTGTGTACCTGAGCCCAGTCTGTTCTTGTACAGGAGGCCGCTGGTGTTTCTGCAGCGCACTGGCAGCTCGTTGTCATAAACCGACGGGTCCCAGTTGTACTTCGAGACGTCTTTATCATGTCCGGATGCGAGTGGAGTGTTGGGAGTTTGAGGACCTGAAGGAGGCACACAAACACATTCAGAAGACAGCATTTCTGATGACATTTATAGATGCTAAAGCTGAAGTTCACCAGGGGTCATGGGAGTCCCTGTGGCTTTCAGGCTTGTGGCGTCTACGATGCTCCCGTCAGTGTGAACCACGATCAGCGTGGCCTTCTGGGTACTCAGAGTGTTTCCGATCTGAAGCGTCGCTCTGCCCGTCTGCACAAATGTTACATTTAATGCTGTCATTTTGATCCAAAAATGAGAATGCATGTACTGTGATATTACTATAATTACTCTGGACATGTGAGATGAGTTATATGATAGAATATAAATATATTGATGATCATACAGTACCCAAGAATTAATAAAGATTCAATAGAATTTAAAACTGTGGAAAAAAGAAATCATTTTTAGCAAATACAATAAAAAATATAAATAAATAATAATAATAATAGTAATTATATATATATATATATATATATATATATATATATATATATATATATATATATATATATATACATACATACATATAGTTTAAGTCAGAATTATTAGCCCCCGTTTATTTATTTTTATTTATTTTATTTTTCAACACACTTCTATACAGCTTAAAGTATCATTTAAAGGCTTAACTAGGTTAATTAGGTTAACTAGGCAGGTTAGGGTAATTAGGCAGGTTTTTGTATAACGATGGTTTGTTCTGTAGACTATCGAAAACAAAAATAGCTTAAAGGGGCTAATAATTTTTTACCTTAAAATGATTATTAAAAGATTAAAAACGGCTTTGATTCTGGCCGAAATAAAAAAATAAGACTTTCTACAGAAGAAAAATTATTATCAAACATACTGTCAACATGTCGTTGCTCTGCTCAAAATATGTGACCCACATATTAATTTTATATTTAAATATTTCATATTTTTTACCCAGTATTTCTTACAATGAACTAAATTATCAATATATATTTTGGTTAAATTATGTATACAATTGAAGTCAGAATTATTAGCCCCCCTTTCATTTTTTTTCTTTTTTTTTATATTTTCCAAATGATGTTTATCAGAGCAAGGAAATGTTCACAGTATGTCTGATAATATTTTTTCTTCTGAAGAAAATCTTATTTGTTTTATTTCGGCTAGAATGAAAGCAGTTTTTAATATTTTAAAAACCAATTTTGGGACAATATTATTAGCCCCTTTAAGCTAATATTTTTTTCGAAAATCTACAAAACAAATCATCATTATACAATAACTTGCCTAATTACCCTAACCTGCCTAGTTAACCTAATTAACCTAGTTAAGCCTTTAAATGTCACTTCAAGCTGTATAGAAGTGTCTTGAAAAATATCAAGTAAAATATTATTTACTGTCATCATGACAAAGAAAATAAATCAGTTATTAAAAATAGGTTTTTAAAACTGTTATGATTAGAAATGTGCTGAAACAATCTTCCCTCAATTAAACAGAAATTGGGGAAAAAAATAAACAGGGGCGCTAATAATTCAGGGGGGCTAATAATTCTGACCTCAACTGTATATTATTTATTTATTTATAATGAATTAATTATAATTAATTATTAGTGCTGTCAAAAATTAATCAAGATTAATCGCATACAAAATAATAGTTTTTTAAATAAACATTTAAATGACAATTATTTTATAGTGTACTTGCCTGTTGTGTGTAAATATATATACATGTGTGTGTGTGTGTGTGTGTGTGTATAAATACATACATACATACATACATACACACATTTATATATTCATTCATTCATTTTCTTGTCAGCTTAGTCCCTTTATTTATCACACTCATACACTTTGGACAATTTAGCCTACCCAATTAACCTGTACTACATGTTTTTGTGAGGGAAACCGAAGCACCCAGAGGAAACCGACACGAAGGCAGGGAGAACATGCAAACTCCACACAGAAACGCCAACTGAACCGAGGTTCAAACCAGCGACCCAGCGACCTTCTTGCTGTGAGGCGACAGCACTACCTACTGCGCCACTGCCTCGCCCATATAAATATAGGCATGAGACAAAATTTTCTGCTATACTGTTCCTAAGGTGTGTAAGATTTTGTTTTTACATTATTTTTTAGGACAACAGTATCACCAGCAGAAAACATATTCAAAAATACTGTTTTAAATTGTGAAGAAATACAGTTGAAGTCAGAATTAATCGCCCCCCTGTTTATTTTTTCCCCCAATTTCTGTTTAACGGAGAGCAGATTTTTTTTCAACACATATGTAAACATAATAGTTTTAATAACTAATTTCTATTAACTGATTTATTTTATCTTTGCCATGATGACAGTAAATAATATTTGACTAGATATTTTTCAAGACACTTCTATACAGCTTAAAGTGACATTTAAAGGCTTAACTTGGAAAAAAAAAATTAGCTTAAAGGGGCTAATAATTCAATCCCTAAAATGGTTTTTACAAAATTAAAAACTGCTTTTATTCTGGCCAAAATAAAACAAATAAGACTTTCTCCAGAAGAAAAAATATTATCAGACATACTGTGAAAATTTCCTTGCTCTGTTAAACATCATTTGGGAAATATTTAAAAAATAAATCATAATAGGGCTAATAATTCTATAAAACCCCTATAATATATTATATTATTATAATTAATAATTACACAAGAACAATAAGTTTGATCCACTTTAAATGTTGACTACTATATATATATATACATATATATATATATATATATATATATATATATATATATATATATATATATATATATATATATATATATATATATATATAAACATGTATTTTATTTTAGTAAAAAAAGCACAAATCTTTCATACATTTCATAACCTTTAACTTAGAAATTGTTATATGAATTTAATTGTTTATTCTTACGAGCACATGTTCAGGTATAGATGTTGCTGTGGCGACTGCAGACGTAAACACAGAGTCATCTGAACTCTGAACATCTCCAACAGTGACGGCCGTGACCTCTGAAAAATAAATGTAAAAGTCATAATGCTAAAAACTAACAGTGATAAATTACATTTTAACATATGTTTAATTGGAAAACATATTTAAATCACATAATATTACTGTGCAATATTTTACAATATTTTTATTGTTAGATCAAATAAATCTCGCGCATAACTGAAATGTGGCAGCTATGTGTTAGCAGACAAGCTGCTAGTATGTTACTAGTATGTTTCGCACATTGCTATTATGTTTGTTAATAGCATGTTTTAACACACTACTACCATGTTTTACTATTTCGATAACTTGTTGTAGCTAACATTTAGCTGACCTGTTTTAGATTTTAACATGCTGCTAGCATGGTTCAGCAAAATAACATTTGCTTTACAGGTTTAACACCATGCTAACATGTTTGAATCGCTGATATTAACGTTGTTGAAAATTTGATGTCGTTTTAAAACATGGATGGCACAATAAAAACATGTTGCTAGCATACTTTATCATGTCGAAAATATATTACTGCAATATATAAAGTTGTATCAGCAAATCAACCTATAAGCGCGTGGTAGCTATGTGTTAGCAGACACGCTGATAGTATGTTACTAGTATGTTTCGCACGTTGCTATTATGTTTGTTAATAGCATGTTTTAACACACTACTACCATGTTTTACTATTTCAATAACTTGTTGTAGCTAACATTTAGCTGACCTGTTTTAGATTTTAGCATGCTGCTAGCATGGTTCAGCAAAATAACATTTGCTTTACAGGTTTAACACCATGCTAACATGTTTGAATCGCTGATATTAACGTTGTTGAAAATTTGATGTCGTTTTAAAACATGGATGGCACAATAAAAACATGTTGCTAGCATACTTTATCATGTCGAAAATATATTACTGTAATATATATAGTTATATCAGCAAATCAACCTATAAGCACGTGGTAGCTATGTGTTAGCAGACACGCTGATAGTATGTTACTAGTATGTTTTGCACATTGCTATTATGTTTGTTAATAGCATGTTTTAACACACTACTATCATGTTTTACTATTTTGATAACTTGTTGTAGCTAACATTTAGCTGACCTGTTTTAGATTTTAGCATGCTGCTAGCATGGTTCAGCAAAATAACATTTGCTTTACAGGTTTAACACCATGCTAACATGTTTGAATCGCTGATATTAACGTTGTTGAAAATTTGATGTCGTTTTAAAACATGGATGGCACAATAAAAACATGTTGCTAGCATACTTTATCATGTCGAAAATATATTACTGTAATATATATAGTTATATCAGCAAATCAACCTATAAGCACGTGGTAGCTATGTGTTAGCAGACACGCTGATAGTATGTTACTAATATGTTTTGCATATTGCTATTATGTTTGTTAATAGCATGTTTTAACATACTACTACCATGTTTTACTATTTCGATAACTTGTTGTAGCTAACGTTTAGCTGACCTGTTTTAGATTTTAGCATGCTGCTAGCATGGTTCAGCAAAATAACATTTGCTTTACAGGTTTAACACCATGCTAACATGTTTGAATCGCTGATATTAACGTTGTTGAAAATTTGATGTCGTTTTAAAACATGGATGGCACAATAAAAACATGTTGCTAGCATACTTTATCATGTCGAAAATATATTACTGTAATATATATAGTTATATCAGCAAATCAACCTATAAGCACGTGGTAGCTATGTGTTAGCAGACACGCTGATAGTATGTTACTAGTATGTTTTGCACGTTGCTATTATGTTTGTTAATAGCATGTTTTAACACACTACTACCATGTTTTACTATTTCAATAACTTGTTGTAGCTAACATTTAGCTGACCTGTTTTAGATTTTAGCATGCTGCTAGCATGGTTCAGCAAAATAACATTTGCTTTACAGGTTTAACACCATGCTAACATGTTTGAATCGCTGATATTAACGTTGTTGAAAATTTGATGTCGTTTTAAAACATGGATGGCACAATAAAAACATGTTGCTAGCATACTTTATCATGTCGAAAATATATTACTGTAATATATATAGTTATATCAGCAAATCAACCTATAAGCACGTGGTAGCTATGTGTTAGCAGACACGCTGATAGTATGTTACTAGTATGTTTTGCACATTGCTATTATGTTTGTTAATAGCATGTTTTAACACACTACTATCATGTTTTACTATTTTGATAACTTGTTGTAGCTAACATTTAGCTGACCTGTTTTAGATTTTAGCATGCTGCTAGCATGGTTCAGCAAAATAACATTTGCTTTACAGGTTTAACACCATGCTAACATGTTTGAATCGCTGATATTAACGTTGTTGAAAATTTGATGTCGTTTTAAAACATGGATGGCACAATAAAAACATGTTGCTAGCATACTTTATCATGTCGAAAATATATAACTGTAATATATATAGTTATATCAGCAAATCAACCTATAAGCACGTGGTAGCTATGTGTTAGCAGACACGCTGATAGTATGTTACTAATATGTTTTGCATATTGCTATTATGTTTGTTAATAGCATGTTTTAACATACTACTACCATGTTTTACTATTTCGATAACTTGTTGTAGCTAACGTTTAGCTGACCTGTTTTAGATTTTAGCATGCTGCTAGCATGGTTCAGCAAAATAACATTTGCTTTACAGGTTTAACACCATGCTAACATGTTTGAATCGCTGATATTAACGTTGTTGAAAATTTGATGTCGTTTTAAAACATGGATGGCACAATAAAAACATGTTGCTAGCATACTTTATCATGTCGAAAATATATTACTGTAATATATATAGTTATATCAGCAAATCAACCTATAAGCACGTGGTAGCTATGTGTTAGCAGACACGCTGATAGTATGTTACTAGTATGTTTTGCACATTGCTATTATGTTTGTTAATAGCAAGTTTTAACACAATACTACCATGTTTTACTATTTCAATAACTTGTTGCTAACATTTAGTTAACCTGTTTTAGATTTTAACATGCTGCTAGCATAGTTCAGCAAAATAACATTTGGTTTACATGTTAACACCATGCTAAAATGTATGAATCGCTGATATTAGTGTTGTTGAAAATTTTATGTCGTTTTAAAACATAGATAGCACATTAAAAACATACAAGCATTTTTCATCATGACAAAACCATATTACTGTAATTAAGGCTGGGCGATTAATCGAAAAGTGATCGAAATCGACATTCAGAGCCTATAATCAATGTAATTTGTCCAGGTCAGTTTTTTTCAAATACTTTCCCTACAGAGTCACATGAGCTCTGTTTACACTTCTGCGTTGATCGCAGTGGACGGTCTGACGCTGCCTTCGCGTGGTCGCATACCCCTTGCAGTGACTAATGCCGACCTCTCAAAAAAAACTTACTGTAACTACATGTTGCGACGACGCATAGCACAAGCTGTGTGATTGGTCAGCTTGGTAGAGTTGATGAGAGGACAAAAAAATTAAACAAATAAACAAATAAAATAATCGTTCATTAATCGTAATCGAGGTAAAATGTTCAGTTAATCAAGATTTTGAAATTAGGCCAATTCACCCAGCCCTAACTGTAATATATATATATAGCTGTATTAGCAAATTAAGCTGTGTGTGTGTGTGTGTATATGTATGTATGTATGTATGTATGTATATATATATATATATATATGTATATGTATATATGTATATATATATATATGTATGTATATACATGTATATATATATGTATGTATATATATGTATAAATATGTATGTATATATATGTATATATATATGTATATATATATATATATATATATATATGTATGTATATATATATATATATATATATATATATATATATATATATATATATATATATATATATATATATATATATTTGTTTTTGTTCTTCTTTTTTGCATCATTTAAATCTATTATTAATATTATGCATATTCATGTTGAAAAATGTGCATATGTTTTGGAAACATTATATAGAAATACTTAATAGTTTTATTTAAAAATGATTAAAATCACAATACAATAATCTTAACAGTCTTAAAAAAAGTTTGATTTTTGTACATACCGCAATTTTATGTGGTATAATCCCATGTTAGTGTTTTCTCTTTAAGTGTAATTTAAGAGAACATTTCAGCAGTTTCATTTGAAAAACTTCGTAAAAAACGTTTCATGCTAATAAATAAATCAAGATAATGATGGTTGTAATATAGTTATTTATTGTTTTACCTTTTCATTTATTTTTCCGAGTGCTTTGAATTTATGATTTTGTTCTTTATCTTTATGAATCCCTTATCCAAAGCGCACAGACACATGAAGCACTTCTTGTTTGATTTTGGATGGTTATTAATTTAATCTGATGTAGAGTGAAACTGATTTTAGTGTAATTTTATATGCAAATGTGTACAACATTATTACATCTAACTTTTTTAAATAAAAAAAGATTATATTAACAGTATATTTTCACATAGGTTACCATAGCCGCCAGGGGTCAAATAAATAAATTAATATAACCCAAATAAATGTACATAATGCTTCATAAGTTATTTTAGCTTTTCTGTTAGTAACGTTATAAACTGCCATTGTTTAATCTCTTTTATAAAAACGTCACAATTTTGACATTTATACACGATATTTTCCATGTAAAACTAGATGTATGACAAAATAACTTCCTGAATCAACTGTATCATGTTCAAAACGTGATCTTCCGTCTAATTAAAAATCAACTTGTTAGAACCACGACATCAACAGCTGCGCATGCGCAACAATGACTGACCCGCAAATGCGGTCTCGGCATCGTCCGGGTTCGGGAGGGATTCGGTGATGTCGATGGTTCCCGCTTCTCCCATCACAGTCATCGTGGCGACTTCGGCCTCCGATTCGGTATCCGAACCCACCGGCTCTCCGGTAGATGCGCTCTCTGACGCGTCGCCGAGCTCGAGCTCTTTCGTCGCCGGTTCTTCAGTCGCGTCCATTTCAAAACAGCGGCGCACGGAATCAGCCGAAACTGTCCGAAGGGCTGTCGAGGCAAGGAGCGCGTCCCTCGCGATTTAACGACGTGCAACAATCCAACCGAGCGCTTATTCAACCTGCGCGAACAGATTACAGTTTTACCAAAGCGTTTTTATCTTCGAGTGCGAAAGAAAAGAAGGCGGCTGCAGGATAATGGCCTCCGAGTGTCTTTAGTGGGGACGGGGATCAACACAGGAAGGAGAGCAGGCGGAAATTACCGAATCAAAACGGAAATTACCGAAAGGACACGACGTAACACGAAACGACGCTCGAGAACACAGGACGTGATTTGCCCTGACACATGTGGATTGTGTTCAATAAAAAATAATTTAATCTTTAGAGAACTTGAAACTTTTAATGGAAACTTAATAAAGGAAATTGTTTGCACTAAAAAAGTTAGATCGCTTAAGTGGTTTTGCTTGCTATTTAATGAAGAAGATAAAAACGTTATTATATTTTTGCCGTGTATTATAAACGTGTTTGTCAAAATTACAATAACAAAAGCAAAAACAAACAAAACTGAGAATTATCATACTTAATAACAATAATAATTATAAACATACATGATTTATAAATTTATTTTATAAGCTAATTTATTTATTCAGCCAAATACTTTTTATTTATTTATTTTTTTTTGGCCATTTGCCAGAAATTACTAAGATAACAAAAACTTCAATCTGTGGGGGAAAAATGTAAAAAGCTAAATGAACAAATTATTAAATGGAGAGTAAATTATAAAAACAAAATATATTTTATGTGTTCACCTACATATATTTTACGTGCATTTATTCAGGTGAATAAAGTAAATAAATAACAATAAAATGATTGCTTTCTCAATATAAATGGGTTTGGCAGAAATTACTAAAAATCAACAACAGCACTGATCAATATAGCAGAGAAATTTTTTTTAAATCCCCATAAAGTTACAAGTAATTTATCAACATTATTTTATAGTAAACAGATTGTTCAATGTTCCCAGAGTTTACTGTTATTCGTGCAATACTAGTTTGTATAATTGCCAGCCATGAAGTTAACTATCACAGTAAGATGCAGTATAAAAGGCATCAAAATGCTCTTTATAAAATCTTGATATAGTGTTTATCAAACATATTAATGGTATTAATATTTCCAAAACTCTGGCAGAAAAGCAAAAAAGTTGGTCTGTGATGTGGATCGTCAGATGGGCCAGCAGGAAGAACTGGATTTTAGTTGACGGATGTGACCAGGCTGGCAAGGAAAGCTCACAGACTGTCCTGTAAACAACAACAACAAAAAAAATTGCATAATTTTACTTAAAAAGCAAGGCAAAAAAATAACATCGACTACTATTAATTTGATTATTATGTCGGCATGACAAAACCAAAATACTACAATTCTATTTATTTATATTTTCTTACTGATCACTGATAACAAACCCAATCAAATCTAATGGAAATCCTATTTTAAATATGCTAGAAACATGCTAATTTGTTAACAATACCAATGTACTGCATGCAGAAAACATATGTTAGCAAATCTGTCAAAACATCCCGGCTGAAAAAAAACTGGTTTTAGCTGGTCAACCAGCCTGGTTTAAAGGGGTTCTGGCCATTTCCAGGTTGATTTCCAGTCTGATCTTACCTGGGCAGGCTGGAAAATGACCAACTAAAACCAGCTTGACCAGGTTTAAGCTGGAGATAGCTGGTTTTAGTTTGTCATCTCCCAGCCTGACTAGCTAAAACCAGTTTTTTTTTTCAGCAAGGATGCTATAAACATGCTGATTGATGTTAGCAATATCACAGGTGAGAAACATCAACAATATGTTAAAACATGCAAGCAATAAACAACATGCTATTTATGAAAAACATGCTGGCAACATACATGGCAAATCAAGCTAGGTGCATGTTAACAATATGTTAAGTATACCAGAAACATGCTAAATTGATGCTAGTAACACAATAAAATGTGTTATCTACTTTTTTTTGTTATGCTAATCATGCTGGAAACATTATAGAAAACATGCAAATTAGCTCTAACAATATTCTAATCATGCTAGGAACATGATATTTTTGTGATAATAATCTCTTAATCATGTTAGAAACATGCTAATTAGAGATAACAATATCCAAATCATGTTAGAAAGATGCTAATTAGCACTAAAAATATCCTAGCCAAGCTAGAAACATTCAAGTAGACATGATAATTAGCCCTAACAATATCATAATATTGCTAGAAACATGCTAATTAGCATTAACAATATCCTGGTCATGCTAGAAACATGTAAATTAGCGCTAGCAATATCATAATCATGCTATAAACATGTTAAGTAGAGCTAACAATAATTATGCTTGAAACATTCTAGAAAACATGCTAATTAGCACTGACAACATCCAAATCATGTTAGAAAGATGCTAATTAGCGATAACAATATCCTAATCATGCTAGAAACATTCTTGAAACATGGTAATTAGTGCTAACAATACCCTAATCATGCTAGAAACGTTAATTAGCGCTAACTATATGCTGGAAACATTTTAAAAACATGCTAATTAGCACTTACCATATCCTAAAAACATTCTAGAAACATGTTATTAGCGCTAACAATATCCTAATCATGCTAGAAACATTCTTGAAACATGTTATTAGCGCTAACAATATCCTAATCATGCTAGAAACATTCTTGAAGCATGTTATTAGCGCTAACAATATCCTAATAATGCTAGAAATATTCCAGAAACATGTTAATGAGTGCTAACAATACCCTAATTATGCTGGAAACGTGTTAATTATTAGTGCTAACAATATCTTAATCACGGTAGGACATTTTTGTAACGTTCTAATTCATGTTAGCATGATAAACAGGCTAGCACCATACTCATTCATGCTAACAATGTTGTGTTATTCTTGCTAATAATAAATGTTATCAACATGCCATCCTAGCTAAAAACATGATAAAAATGGTCCACGCTAGTGCTGTTTAGTGATTAATCGTGACTAAATGAGTACAAAATTAGATTTAACTTCTATAATTTATACATTAGACATTTTGTATACATGTATGATAAATAAACACTACACACACACACACACACACACAAAATAACAGGTTACCAGCAGTAATCCATGCAACATGCTAATTGAGGCTAATAAAACACTGTAAGCACATTAGCCGCACAAATGAACTTTTCTGACTAGAATTTTCAAACATTTCAGAAGTTATTGTACAATTTCACATCTGCTTCTGTCAACTCAATCAACATCAAACTAAATTAAATGTTCATTACCTGGAGTAAGCAGTAGGGTAGATCCAGAATTGAGCACAACTTGAAGAGTGAATGTCTCTTTGCTGTCAGTCTTCCTCACAGAAACTTTTACTTCTTCACTTGTGATCGTCCAGTCCATCTTATGGCCGAGATAACAAACACCCTTCACACTGAGTGCAGAAACATCCAGCGGCAGCAGTGGAGAGAAGGCTAGCTGCTCCTTCTGCACTCTAAACACACACACACACACACACACACACACACACACACACCATATAATGAGTTAATGGATGTCAGAGAGTTAAATGAAATGTCCCAAAATGATACAGTATACACATACACTCAGCGGCCACTTTATTAGGTACACCTTATAAACACCTTACTAGTACCGGGTTGGACCCCCTTTTGCCTTCAGAACTGCCTTAATCCTTCATGGCATAGATTCAACAAGCTACTGGAAATATTCCACAAAGATTTCGGTCCATATTGACATGATAGCATCACGCAGTTGCTGCAGTTTGTCGGCTGCACATCCTTGATTTGAATCTCCCGTTCCACCACATCCCAAAGGTGCTCTATATGATTGAGATCTTGTGACTGTGGAGGCCATTTGAGTACAGTGAACTCATTGTCATGTTCAAGAAACCAGTCTGAGATGATTTGCGCTTTTTGACATGGTGCGTTTTCCTGCTGGAAGTAGCCATCAGAAGATAATTACATTATACATTGGTCATAAAGGGATGGACATGGTCAGCAACAATACTCAGGGTAGGCAGTGGCGTTGACACGATTCTCAGTTGGTACTAATGGACCCAAAGTGTGCAAAGAAAATATCCCCCACACCATTACACCACCACCAGCCTTACCCATTGATACAAGGCAGGATGGATCCATGCTTCCATGTTATTGGAAGCATGGAAGTTATCCATTCATGGCCAAGATTCTGGAGAAAGTAGTGTTCAATCAAGTCCTGGACTTTCTTACTCAAAACAATCTCATGGACAACAAGCAATCCGGCTTTAAGAAAGGCCACTCAACTGAGACTGCCCTGCTCTCGGTCGTGGAGGATCTCAGACTAGCTAAAGCAGACTCTAAATCATCAGTCCTCATTTTGCTGGACTTGTCAGCTGCTTTTGACACTGTCAACCACCAGATCCTGCTATCTACGCTTGAGTCACTGGTCGTTGCGGGCACTGTTATACAATGGTTCAGATCTTACCTCTCTGACAGGTCATTCAGGGTGTCTTGGAGGGGAGAGGTGTCCAACCTACAGCATCTAAACACTGGGGTACCTCAAGGCTCTGTTCTTGGGCCACTTCTCTTCTCCATCTACACATCATCTCTAGGACCAGTCATCCAGAGACATGGATTCTCCTACCACTGCTATGCTGATGATACCCAGCTATACCTCTCTTTTCATCCTGATGATCCCTCGGTTCCAGCTCGTATCTCAGCCTGCCTGTTGGATATTTCACACTGGATGAAAGATCATCATCTTCAGCTGAACCTCGCAAAAACGGAAATGCTTGTAGTTTCTGCCAACCCGACTCTACACCATAACTTTTTAATCCAGATGGATGGGGCAACCATTACTGCATCCAAAATGGTGAAAAGCCTTGGAGTAACGATTGATGACCAACTAAACTTCTCTGACCACATTTCTAGAACTGCTCGATCGTGCAGATTTGCACTCTATAACATCAGAAAGATCCGACCCTTCTTATCTGAACATGCAGCTCAACTCCTTGTTCAAGCTCTTGTTCTCTCCAAACTGGATTACTGCAACTCTCTACTAGCTGGGCTTCCAGCTAACTCTATCAAGCCTCTTCAACTGCTCCAGAATGCAGCAGCACGAGTGGTCTTCAATGAACCTAAACGAGCACATGTCACTCCGCTGCTAGTCCGTTTGCACTGGCTGCCAGTTGCTGCTCGCATCAAATTCAAAACTCTGATGTTTGCCTACAAAGTGACTTCTGGCCTTGCTCCTTCTTATCTGCACTCACTTCTGCAGATCTATGTGCCCTCCAGAAACTTGCGTTCTGTGAATGAACGTCGCCTCGTGGTTCCATCCCAAAGAGGGAAAAAATCACTTTCCCGAACTCTAGCGCTCAATCTGCCCAGTTGGTGGAATGAACTCTTAACTGCATCAGAACAGCAGAGTCACTCGCTACTTTCAAGAAACGACTGAAAACTTGACTATTTAGTCTCCACTACACTTCCTAATCTGCAATTGCCTCTTTGAATATCACACTAACTGTACAAAAAAAAAAAAAAAAAAACTACTAATACTTCCCTTCTTAGACTTTACAGACCTGAAACTTGCCTATAGCACTTATTCATTGTTGCTCTTAGTTGTGTAAATTGCTTCCTTGTCCTCATTTGTAAGTCGCTTTGGATAAAAGCGTCTGCTAAATGACTAAATGTAAATGTAATGTAAATGTTATTGATGCCAAATTCTGATCCGACCATCTGAATGTTGCGGCAGAAATGGAGACTCTTCAGACCAGGCAACATTTCTCCAATCTTCTATTGTCTAATTTTGCTGAGCCTGTGTGAATTGTAGCCTCAGTTTCCTGTTCTTAGCTGACAGGAGAGGCACCCGGTGTGGTCTTCTGCTGCTGTAGCCCATCTGCCTCAAAGTGTTGTGTGTTAAGAGATGCTCTTCTGCAGACCTCTGTTGTAACAAGTGGTCAATTGAGTTACTGTTGCCTTTCTATCAGCTGGAACCAGTCTGGCTATTATTCTATGATCTCTGGCATCATCAAGGCATTTGCGCTAACAGAACTGCCACTCACTGAATATTTCCTCTTTTTCAGGCCATTCTCTGTAAACCCTAGAGATGTTTGTGCGTGAAAATCCCAGTAGATCAGCAGTTTCTGAAATGCTCAGACCAGCCCGTCTGGCACCAACAACCATGCCACGTTCAAAGTCAATCAAATCACCTTTCAACCCCATTCTGATGCTCGATTTGAACTGCAGCTGAGCGTCTTGACCATGTTTAAATGCATTGAGTTGCTCCCATGCGATTGGTTAATTAGAAATAAGTATCAACGAGCAATTGGACAAGCGTACCTAATAAAGTGGCCGGTGAGTGTATACACTATATAGAATGGGCATGCATCATTAGAATGCAATGCATTCTGGGTATTTAGGAAAAGAAAGCCTGATTCCTTTAGCTGATTGCTATTCCTCTACTAATTTACTGTTTCATATATACACTCATCAGCAATAAACTGTAAGTGCTGGCACTACACATTAAGACGAGAATCATAGATGGAACTGTTTTCTTCCGGCATCTTGTTAGTTACGGATGTACAGAGCACTTATTCTTTGTAGGATTTTCAGTGTGAATGCAATGCTTACTCTGTCTGTATAACAAAATGGCGTAGTGTATAAGTGTGCGATCTGGGTCGCACCCACAATCTCTGTCATTGATCGTTTTACCTGAAGCCTGTGTAGCCGAACAGTACAGCCTGCAGGAATCCACCCATCCCTGTCAGGAAGTTCACACATCCAGAGCCGTCAGCCGATTCACTCCAGACCTGCTCAAACACGAGATTTTTTTAATAGTTATTTTTTCAGGGTTTTACCTTAATGTACAGGACAGTGGAGATTACAGACAGGAAAGTGATGGGAGTGGAGAGAGGGGGAATAATCAGCAAAGGAGCCGGGAATCGAACTCGGGTCACTGTTCTTAAGTGACTCAATTAATTTGAAATTAAAATGTTAACCTTTTTAAACTCCTAGTTTTTATTATTCTGATTATTTTTATGATAGTTTTGCATTGTTTATGTAAAGCACTTTAAATTAGCATTGTGTATAAAATGTGCTACAGAATAAATAAACTTGCGTTGCAGTGTCATGCATTGGATAAAATGACCGAGAAAATGGACATAAGCAATAGTGTCTGGATGCAGCCTTTATGATGCAAGCTGAGACTGCATCACTCAGCGATGCAATGTCAGACACAATGCACTCAAATGGAGCTAGTGACGTCACTGTGACGGGTAGGGTTAGGGGCGGGGTTAGGTGAGCCCATTAAAAAGCATTAGATGCAGCCCAGATTGCACTGCACCAGGTCTGCAGCCAGACCCCTCTCGACATAAGATCATTTTTCAGTGCAGCTAAACACAAAGTACAAAAAGTTCACATATTAAGCAATTTGGCTTTAAGAATGAGTGCTTAAATACTAAAGTCACAATAACAATCACAGGCAAAGGAGAAAGAAATGATTGAGGAACAGGCAGGGCAGGGTCAGTCAGATGTACAGTGTCAGGTAAGGGTGTTGTGCTTTATTGAAGGGATAATGACAACTCTTTTGGGGGGTGAACAATTTTTCGGAGTTGTGGCTGTTTAGCAGATGAACTTCACATGCTCACCGATTTACAATATGATCGTCAATTTAAAAAGTGTAATGTAAAGTTAGTTATTATGAGGATGGAAAACATCTTTTCCTGCATTTCTTCTGCTTCAGCAGTCAGTCTATTGGCTGTAAACAACCAAGTGGCAGCCTCCCGCTCTCCCTCAGGAAGCCAATACGGAAGTAACTAAAACTGCAATTCATCCGAAATTCCGCTAGTCCTGGCCGCTCCTGGCTCCAAAACAGAGCAAATTTCAATTGAGCCCACTGTTAGAATGGCCAACTTCACAGCAGAAAAGGTGTTTACAGCCTGGTACAAAAAAAGATTTTGGTTAATACAGCTAATATTACCCTTCATGACAACTGTGAGGGGGGTGAATTTTTTTATAACTCATCCGTTTCCTTTATATTAAGTTATATTAAGTTTGCATAATTAAGGGAGTGGCCACTTGAGTGACAGCTAAGTCTCGTTGGTCGCCGTCACGTCACCTCAGCTGAATCCTGCAGATTAGCCACTGAACTCTGCATATTTATCGTATTTCTGTGTTGTTTTATGTGGCTTTACACAGTCAACTGCCTTTTGGACTTGTTTCCTACAATTATTAGATGGCATGGCATGCTGAGTGCACTTAATTGTGCTCACAAACCATTCACGTGGCCTCCGTTTCCCCTGTGAGTAAAGTTATATACTTATATACCATCTCTATACATGTATTTGTTTTATTTAAGATCATTTATCGTTTATATTTAGAGCTGTAATGCACTCCAGAATCTGTCGGATTGATTAGCTGTAGGCTCTAGAACAGTCATCTGAAGCGTTGTCATACAGTGTTATGCTGGATTTCATCAATAGTCTTACATTAACTAACACAGACTATATCTGAAGTGTTTGGAAGTAATTTGCGTTTTCCTCCTGTTGAAAAACGTCATAAGAACAATGTTTAGTGGCTCAATGTATTACAGCAGTGTTTTTACAAGTCTAAACACTTTATTGATAATAGTGTACAGCCAAGCACAAGTGGTCAGAACACAAACGAGTCACAGGTGATAAAGTATTAAGCGTTTCTCCCAAAGTAAAGTGTGTCTGAACCAGGTCCAAGCTAAATGCCAGCAGGTGTCTGTAGCTCCGCCCACTCTCCGCCTCTTTGCCCTTGTTTGGTATCCCGCCGTGGGTGTGTTGACGCGCGAACAAAATGGCGACGGTTGGCCCCGCCTACTTGTGGCTTCTTTTGCGCTTTTTAGAAACCTATGGGTGACGTCACGCATACTACGTCCATATATTTTAGTCTATGTAAACAACACAACAAACAATGCAGTAAATAGTTTTGAAGAAAAATTCGCTTTGTCGTTGAACCTGAGAAAAACTTTGAAAATAATAATAATGCCGTAGTCTCCATGCTATAATAATAATACTGAAACCATTTTTAACTGCGGGGACATATCTTTATTAGTACAATTCGGCTGTATTATTTGTGTCCCCTTCAAAAAATGCTCGAAGGAAATTTTATATATTTTTTGTTAAATCAGATTTACGCCCATGCTCTGAATATTCGCTCTGAAATAGTATGTAAGTGTGGCTTAGTAACATGTGTTATTCCTGCATGCCGCCGGCAAACCACTACTACATTCTAACTGGCGAATGACATGAACAAGTGGGTTGTCTGCTATCGTGTCGTGGTGCGCGCATTTGCGATTTCAAGAGGTGTGGCTTTGAACCACAATCCCTCCCCGCCGTCCAATGATAATATGCTAACGGGTTAGCATTTTGGCAGATCACCTACTGCACCTTTAAGACTTTTCAAGGCCTAAAATTTTGTTTTTGAGATTTAAGACATTTTAAGACCCCGCGGACACCCTGAATAAAAAAAAATCTTTAAAATCTGTTGTCATTTATAAAATATACAATGTCAAACACTATATGCAGCGGATCACTGAGCACACCCTGCTATATTACTTCATATTAATTAATATTTTTATCCATTCCTCAGTAAATTTAGACCATCATTTTTTTGTACATTTAAACAAAAAGGTTTTATTAAACAGTTACATCTATTAAAATAAGAGTGTGGTCACAGAACATGTTTAGGAATAGAAAGAAAATACAACTGCAAATAAAATGACAAACTACACAATTTCAACTAAAGTTTATATATTTTATCTTTCTCCAGATTTTACCTGTTTATTAAATATTAATATTTAATATTTTCCACTAACAGTTTAATTTGGGTGTACATATGCCATATACACATTCATTCATTTTCTTTTTGGCTTAGTCCCTTTATTAATCAGAAGTCGCCACAGCGGAATGAACCGCCAACTAATCCAGCATACAGCGGATGCCCTTCTATCTGCAACCCATCACTAGGAAACATCCATACACACTCATTCACACACATACACTACAGACAATTTTAGCTTACCCAATTCACCTGTACCGCATGTCTTTGGACTTGTTGGGGAAACCGGAGGAAACCCACACCAACACGGGGAGAGCATGCAAACTTTACACAGAAATGCCAACTGACCAGCCGAGGCTCGAACCAGCGACCTTCTTGCTGTGAGGCGATCGTGTTTCCAACTGCGCCACCGTGATACCCCATATACACAGGCACGTGCACACACAGGGCTCAACCTGTACAGGGCACATGCCCTTTTTAGTCTTGGATAGAAAGTGCCCTTCCAAAATTATCTGAAGTGCCCCCGCGACACCTCCCACCACCCCCCCCCCCCCCCCCACTTCAGTAGGCGCGCAATATTACCGCTCGAGTATGCGCACATCTCCCCACCCCCCACCCCCCGCTTTACAGTACGCGCACGACAACACCGCTGATCAAAACGCGCGCGACAGAAACACCCCCTCCCTCAAAATATTTATCCTGCACATGCCCTTTGGACAGTCTCTGCACGGGCCTGCATATACACATAATACACATTTTCGTAATGTGCACACACTGATAATAAGGCAAACCCAGACACACACAGACAGTGAAACCCACCTGAAATGGTTTCTGGATATTTTTGAAGCATTTCTGCAGAAGCTTTTGGGCTCTTTCTGCTTCTCCAAGTTCAAGCCAGCCCAAAGCAAACATGCCCTAGACACACACACACACACACACACACACACACACACACATATACACACACACTTACTGCAAAGATTATGAGAAAATATCCGCAATTAAATACTCAACTGACAGTCAATAACACAGACAGAGAGCATGCTGGGACTGACCCAGGTCATGGCGGGTCCGAGCGGGTCAGTGACGGCCTCGTACATCTCCAGATCGTTGCGTCTGATCTCTGGGCTCATGGGAAAGGCCAGCGGGAAACCCAGCAAAACCACATCCGCCTGCTTCACTTTATTGCCTGAGGAGAATAGCGCACAGCACATAAGAGTGCAACTTTGCTTCATGGATTTGCCCTCTAAAATATTACTTTGTTTTTTAAAGGAAAAAAAAATCATATCTAAATTAAATGCTATTAATTTAAATTTATTTACAAATTATGTAATAATGCATTACAAATTCATTAAAATGATGATACAAGATAAATCCCATTATTTTCTGAATGATTTGCTGTGCAAGGCACTGTCTATCTTAATAAACTTAAACTTTCCATGTAATTTTAGAGACCTTTCTTTTTTGTTATTTTTTTTAATCATAAATAAATCCTATTTTAACATTTAAATGCAATGTAATTTTTGTATTCATAAGTTAACAAATATAATATTTAAAATTGGCGACGCAGTGGTGCAGTAGGTAATGCTGTCGCCTCACAGCAAGAAGGTCGCTGGTTCTGGTTTCCCCCACAGTCCAAAGACTTGGTACAGGGGAATTGGGTAGGCTAAATTGTCCGTAGTGTATGAATGAGTGTGTGTGGATGTTTCCCAGAGATGGGTTGCAGCTGGAAGGGCATCCGCTGCGTACAACATATGCTGCATAAGTTGGTGGTTCATTCTGCTGTGGTGACCCCGAATTAATAAAGAGACTAACCCGAAAAGAAAACGAATGAATGAATGAATATTTAAATTCAAAATTTGTAGAAATTTTGATTTAAAAAAAACAATTTCATCATGTTAAGCAATTATTTTTATTAGTTTTGTTCTTTTAAATTAATAAAATAGTCCAACTGAATTACGTTTTTAGAATGTAATGTTATGGTTTAGCACTGATCTGCATGACAAATTCATTACAATTCTTCATCTTAAAAATATTTATTATGATTTATGGTATTGCACTATATATTTTTATTAAACTTAAAGGGCATGTTGTTTTCAAATGTTTTTTTAAGCTTTTTAATTTGTTTTATTTGTTAATTTAAAAAAAATATTTAGTAAATTATTGTCATTTTATAAATCTGTACATCTGAACAAAAATAATGTTACAAAAGTGTAAATTTTAGAGTTTATGGAATTAAAATGCATTTATTTTTTTACTAATTATTATAATAATAATTATTATAACTTTAATGCAACAAAATACGCACACTTGTTTCTGTCTTTCTTTTTTAGGCCTCATTCCTCTGGAGAATTTCATTCATTCATTCATTTTCCTTCGGCTTAGTCACTTATATATCAGGGGTCGCCACAGCAGAATGAACCGAGAACTATTCCAGATATCGTTTTACACAGCGGATGCCCTTCCAGCCCTAACCCAGTACTGGGAAACACCCATACACACTCACATTCACACACACTCAAACACCACAGCAATTTACTTTCTCAAATTTCCCTATAGTGCATGTGTTTGGACTGTGGGGGAAACCGGAGCACCTGGAGAAAGCATGCAAACTCCACACAGAAATGCCAACTGGGCCAGCCGGGACTCAAACCAGCAACCGTCTTGCTGTGAGGCGACAGTGCTAACCCCTGAGCCACCTTGCCACCCTCCTGTGGAGAATCTGGCCTTTAAACACCACACCATGAACATGAACCTGACGAAAGCTCCTGACCTGGCTTATATCCGTCAAACTCCGGGTGAAACTTCAACTCCGGGTCAAAGGGGATTTTGATCTTGTCAGCGACGTCCTGCCAAGCGGGAGGAGAAACCTCAGCTAACAGAGCCGAAAGCTCCACTGCAAACTCAAGACTGAACAGCACAGACACAGAAGCAATGCAGCATTAACAGCGAAAGACTGAAGAACTTGTGGTTTATTGTGTATTTACAGTGTTTTGCACCACACCTGCGCTGAGCGACGGCATTAGTGAACACTGAGTTGTCCACAGTGAAGTAATATTCATCAGGAGGAATCACACCTAATGGACAAACACCAAAACAAGTACATCATATCAAACAAGACAATAAAGCCGCCTCTCCACTGCACACCACATTTGGACACGACTGTTGGAATACGCCCCCTTGTGGCAGCCGCACAGTATTTTCAGTGTTGTCGTGCACCACGGGGAGAAGCTGATTCTCACGGTGTCCGAAATAAAGGACTGCAAAAGCAAGAGCCTTTATTTTCTGTGCGTTTACAAAGTTTAGCGGATGAATGAATACTAGAAACTCATAGACCGCTAAAATATTGGAGGGAAAGTGAAGACAACATTAAAAATATATATATTTATTACTTTCTTACTTACATTTATGAACAGAAAAGTTTTTCTTTAATATAGACTTTTTATAATTCAAAAAATAACCAAATAAACTCCTATTTCTCATCTCGCCCGCATGGACCTGCTTGGACAACACTGGAATACATCATATCCGGTTGGCAGGTCGCATGCCGTCTAGTTGCAGGAGTTCAAATATTTCAACGGATCCGCAGCTCAATTAGGGTCCGAATTTTCCGCATACGGAGATGATCGGAACTCAACGCAGCTCCCGGACTGCTCTCCATTGGAAATGAATGACTTCCGGTCTGACGCTTGTCGTGTGCAGTGGAAAGGCGGCTTAAGCAAGTTTACATAGATTCTAATACATTTATACATATTTACGTTTACATTTGTTTACATACATACATATAAATACTTATATACACACACACTTTTTTTCTCTTAATCTTTCCTTTATAATATGATGTACATTCAAAAAGTTCCTTAATATTTAGTCATTGTTTCAAGTATCTGGACAAACTTATTTTCTATGTTAATTCTTGTTTTATATAAATTATTATAATAATTATTTAAATATAATTTTTACATAACATTTTTATTATTTTTATTATTTAAATTTTAAACAACAAATAACATCTAAAGTTATTTTTAGATTTAGTTTTTTGTAATAATAATAATAATAATAATAATAATAATAATAATAAAATAATAATAATAAGGGATTTATTATTCCTTTTGTTAATAGTAATTTTAGTGCTTCTACTAAACTTCATTTATTCTTTCATTTTCTTGTCGGCTTAGTCCCTTTATTAATCCAGGGGTCGCCACAGTGGAATGAACAACTTAACTTGCCAACTTATCCAGCATGTTTTAACGCAGCGGATGCCCCTTCAACTGCAACCATCCCTGGGAAACATCAATACACACTCATTCACACTCATACATTTCGGACAACTTAGCCTACCCAATTCACCTATACCGCATGTCTTTGGACTTGTCTTTGGAACCCAAGCGAACGCGGGGAGAACATGCAAACTCCACACAGAAATGCCAACTGGCCCAGCCAAGGCTGGAACCAGCGACCTTCTTGCTGTGAGGCAACAGTACTGCCTACTGCGCCACCACGTCACTGTTTTTACTAAAAGTATTTCAATTATTATATATTAGCTATTTGTTGATTTCAGTTCAATTGGTTACACATTTTGTCACTTTATCAATTTATTTCCTTATTTTTGGGGTCTTTTAAATTGTACTATTTACATTTCATTCATATTTCATTTAGAAAAATGTACGATGTGTACGTGTGTGTGTATAAAATAAACCAAATATTCATGTTGACTTAAATGTTACTGTGAAGTGCTTTGAAATGTGCATTTGTTATTCTGTTTGAGGTACACTCAACTAAAACATGGAGAGGGTGGGGCAAAGAGTAGTTCCTCCCCTTTCAAAAACCAATGCATGTTGTTTTATCACAGCTCTGCCAGTGAGAGTGGTTGAGCTCAAGCGCATCGATTGAAAAATGAGCAGTGTCTTGAGGGGGGCGGCGCATGTCAGACACTAGAGAGCATTTGATTGGTCAGAAATTTTGAAGTATGAAGTGACATCAAAAAAATCGTTGATTCATTAAAGAGGAAGTGACAAACTGCAAACTCAGGATGTTTATATCAGGATCTTCTAAATGTAAATTTAGTCACTGTATTGTACCACACTAGCATATAGATATCCTTAAAACATAAAAAAAAAAAACGATATTTAAATTTTATGGGACCTTTAATAACTGATGACATCAATCTTTACCTTTAATGTGGTACTGTTGGTCAGCAGAGTCCCATGTCACCCGTGAAACCCAGAAATCAGCAACGCCCCACACCACCTCACTGCCCCGTCCAGTCCGAAACAGCTCCAGGTCCTGTATAATAAAGGAGACAGGGAGATGTGTGCACAAATATTTGATTATTCAAAAAAATATGAATATTCAAACAAACGCTGCAAGCATCCAGTCAGGGCACAGTTCAAATGCTACTATGCTTCTAAAGCTCCTCCCATCTCCTTTTGTGGGAGGGCCAATAGTCACCATAATCGAAACATGACTGGATGCTTTTCAGCTTCTGCATCATCTGTCCATATATACTTGAGTTATTTAAAGTAACATGAATATTAACATGCAAACACTGCATGCAGCCAATCAGAGAGCAGTTCAGACGCTGATCCAGTTCCAAAGCTCCACCCATCAACTCTTGTGGGAGGGGAAAAAGTCACCAGAATCGCATCATAACGCTTTCGTCACTCCTTGTAACAGCACCTAAGAAAATCCAAGTTGACTGTCTCTGATTGGCTAAAAGGGTGATTGGATCTGCAGTAGTTTTTTGAAGATATATTAAAAACATAACAATATTTAAGTTTCACTAAATGCCACTTCGCTGGCTGTAAATGGAGTAAATCCATGATAAAATCTAAGCACCTAAATTAAAACTTGCTTTTATAAATATGTGCAATAGGTGGCGCTGTGGAGCAAGTGAAACAAGTTTAATAAATGCATTGAAATCTGGAATAAATGATGATACATGAAATCTTTGACAAGTAAAACAATGAGAAAAATAAAAACGTCAATATTATTCTGTCAAATTAAGAAAACAACATTTACATTTATGTTTTTGCTTAATATTAAGAGTCTGTTATGGCTGCTATACTTGCTTTTTGGTGTAACGATATAAACACAATAGGTGTATGCGTACAATGTATATAAAAATTGAGGCAACTTTCTAATTTTACAATTTTTAATTTTAATTCGCTCTGCGAAATAATTCGAACATACAATGTTTAAAACGTTCGAAAAGAACCTCACTGGGTATAATGCATCAGCTTGTTGCGAATTTAGCTTTCGACATTCGCATTCGTAAATATTGTCTAAAATAGCATTTAATAAAAAAATCGTCCTTCTAATTTAAAAATAATTTAAATAAACGCAATAAATGTAATTTGGTAACACTCTAGTTTACGTGCCTACACACAATACGCCCAATTACTACATTAATAACTATTAAAGTCCTTGTGAACCGGAATATGTTGATGTACCTTCAACTGAAACAGAATATTAAGTAGGGGGCGGGGCATTCTTAAACTAACAGTAAGAGAAGGTATTAATATGTAGTTGCTATTGACCTTATTGTAAAATGCGGAAGTGCGCCTGTTTTCGCGACTGTTTTAGAACTTCCTATTCAGTCGCCAAGGGAGAAATTACAAGGAATAATAAACGGGCAAAAAACGGTCAAACTACTTGCTCTACAAACAAATGTTTGCATTACTATAAAGACCAAGTAGAATAATATAATAAGAAAATATCAGTTTGCAACATCAAGCAGCGTAACGAGCAGTTTTTAACATCTAAAAATGAATGGAAGTGAAAGAGACCGGAAGTCTCGAACTAAAAAATTAAAATGGCTGCGCCCGCTTGTCGGCATAGAATAAGGTGAATAGAAGCCGTGGAAGGTTATGGAAGGTGCTATGGAAGGTTGAAGTCAACAGAAAGACTTCCACTCCAAACACAGAAGCAAATGGTCAGACTATGATTGAAGATTACCAAACCACATTCAAAACAAAGCACAAATTAATTATTCACCTTAAGAATAACAATGTAAGCTTGCTAAATAAACATTGCACATTTTGATTTTACACAAATTTATTGAAGTGCAAATAAATTTTAATAAGCTAGCTTTTTAGTTTCACTTTCACTTTAAACCTCATAATTAATTGTTTGTTATTAGTAAAAATTGTACCTTAAAATAAAGTGTAATGATCAGCTGTACCTGTGTAAGGTAGAAGTACTGCTGGAAGGCCAGAATCACGTCTCCATTGATGTGAAGCTCCTGCTGGGAGTAAACGTCTTCTGGACAAACATCGACGCCTGTCACTGCGCTCTCCCATGCAAACTTCAAACCCTGACGTGATGATATAAAACTGTGCATAATATAAGAGTATAAACTACTGTACATCCAGTTACTCAGTATACCTTGCAGCCCATCTGCTGAGCGTTGACTTGAGCTCCTTCTAGTGTTTCTACACGGTACTGCAGGACAGCCCGGGCCAGAGCAGGATAAAAGAGGGCAATGCTGGGGTACATCCATGTGTCCTGCAGGGGGAACCGGAGAGAGAGACACTAATGATGGCGAAGGTTTGAAACTTTTAGAAATCTTTTGTTTCAAATCAGTGCTCGAAGCGTGTAGCAAATGTAGATCATGTGATTTCAGTAAACGGGACTGTTAATTTAATATGTTTCGAAAACATTTCGAAAATTAAATTTGTCTCACTTGGAGGCGTTCATGTTGGTTCACTCAGATGGCGAGTCATTGATCAGGTTTTATAGTTTTTAACTGTTCTTTGATCAATTTTATGAGTTCGTAGTAGGGCTACATGATACTGGAAAAATATGCGATGTTGTTGAGCATTGCGATAAAAATATTTCCTACGATCAGTGTTTTCTCAAGGATTTTTTCCAGCTGTGGCGGCAGGCCTCTCAAATAAACGCTGCTGAAGTGCGATTTAGTGCGTTTATGTAACAAGTAAATCTCCAACATTAATTAGATTTGCTAGAAATATTTAAAGTAAAGAGAAACGACTATACGTCATGTTTGCTGGCCTCACGCATTACACACCTGTCAGTAAGCCAGTCAGTCAGTCAGTACGTAACCTTAAAGGGTTTAAAAAATGACGCACAGCACTACTTTGGTTACAGAAAAGTTTGCGCTGTTATAATTCACTGACCTTTTAATAGGTTTTGGTGCGATTATAACCCGCTATTAAAAAAAACCATGACTGAATGTTTTGAATTGACAGCTGTAATATAGCCGTGGCGGGATCAATTTTGGCATGGCGCCCTGCCATGGAAGAATGAATGTAGCGAAAACCAAGCTACGACATAGTTTTTTCCTTGATAAATGCTATTTTTTAAAAAGTAATTAATTTTTTTAATGATATTAAATTATTATTATTCAAATAATTTCATAGATTTTTCAATAGTCTTCAGTTTTCCCACAACACACATATTGAAAAACATATTAACATAGTGCTTATCTACAAACATACTCACACCGCACAAAGAAAGAGGGAGAAAAAAAAATTATAATAAATAAATAAATAAATAAATAAAACTAATTAGGAAATTAAGGATAAACTTTCACTTAAGATTCATTCGTTTTCTTTTTGACTTAGTCCCTTTAATAATCAGTGTTCACCACAGTGTAATGAACTGCCAACTTATCCAGCATATGTTTTACGCAGTGGATGCCCTTCCAGCAGCACCCCTGCACTGGGAAACACCCATACACTCTTGCATTCACATCCACACATACACTACGGCCACTTTAGCATATTCAATTCACCTATAACGCCTGTCTTTGAATTGTGGGGGAAACCGGAGCACCCGCGGAAAACCCACACCAACACGGGGAGAACATGCAAACTCCACACAGAAATCCCAACTGACCCAGCAGGGACTTGAACCAGAAACCATCTTGCTTGAGGCAAAACTAATATTCATTCATTCATTTTTAACCGATTTTCTGGGGCAGGGTGGTGGGGGCAGGAGAACCCCAAAACCCCTCTCTCCAGACACATCCTCCAGCTCCGCCCTAGGCCAGCCGAGAGACATTGTCCCTCCAGCGTGTTCTGGGTCTTACCCAAGGCCTCCTCCCAGTGGGACATGCCTGGAACACCTCTCTAAGTAGGTGTCCAGGAGGCATCCAAAACAGATGCCAGAGCCACCTCAGCTGACTTCTCTCAATGTGGAGGAGCAGCTGCTCTACTCTGAGCTCCTCCCGGTTGACAAAGCTCCTCACCCAGTCTATAAGGGTGCGCCCTGCCACCCTGTGAAAGAAACTCATTTTGGCCACTTGTATCCGAGATCTTGTCCTTTTGGTCATGATCCAAAGCTCATGACCATAGGTGAGAGTAGTAATGTAGATTGACTGGTAAATTGAGAGCTTTGCCTTTCGGCTCAGCTCCTTCTTTACCACAATGGACAGGTAAATCAATCGCATTACTGCTGCCGCTGCACCAATCCACCTGTAAATCTCACGTTCCATCCTTCCCTCACTCGTGAACAAAACTCCAAGATACTTGAACTCCTCCACCTGGGGTAAGGACTTTCCTCCAACCTGGAGATGGCAAACTACCTTTTTCCGGTGGAGAACCATGGCTTTAGACTTGGAGGTCACTCTTAATGATTAACACTACAATAAAAAAATAGAAACTCTATCTAATAACATTGACCTCACCTGATCCCAGAACACATGTCCATGATAATCCTCGTCTTCACTGCCATTGGACAATCCTCCAGGACTGACTCCTCCAAACTCAAACGCAGCACTCGCCTCTTTATTTACATATGGAAATGAACCGAGCAGGTAAAACATGCAACCAATCAGAGCACGGTTCAGACTCTCAGCTCCTATCACCTCAATACTGCTCCCCTTCCAAAGCTCCGCCCAGCTCCTCTGGTGGGAGGGGCGTAAGTCACCAGTATTAATGAGTGCTAAACCAGAATCGTAAAATGATTGGGCGCTTTCGTTGCTCCTAGCAACAGCAACTAGGAAAGTCCAGCTGGACTGGCTCTGATTGGCCGGGAGTGTGAGAGTGGGTGTGACTGGCGTCCAGATCAGATGTACAACTGGACGTACTCCTCCAGGAACTTCAGAAGAGGCGGTCTGTCCAAATATATGCCTGAAGATAAGAAAAGGTTACCTGTTATGTATAGTGATCTTAATTCAGTAGAGAAACAGGTGCTGTCAAGCACTTAATTACGAAATTCATGTGTCCCAAAATAAAAGTCCATATTTACAAAATACAGTTGAAGACTGAAATATTAGCCCCCTGTTTTTCACCAATTTCTGTTTATTGGAGAGAAAAAGTTTTCAACACATTTCTAAACATAATAGTTTTAATAACTCATCTCTAATAACTGATTTATTTTATCTTTGCCATGATGACATAAATAATATTTGACTAGATATTCTTCAAGACACTTCTTAAAGTGACATTTAAAGGCTTAACTATGTTAATTAGGTTAACTAGGCAGGGTAGGGTATTTAGGCAAGTTATTGTATAACGATGTTTTGTTCTATAGACGCTTATAGCTTAAAGCGGCTAATCATTTTGTCCTTAAAATGTCTTTAAAAAATTTAAAACTGCTTTTATTCTAGCCAAAATAAAACAAATAAGACTTTCTCCAGAAGAATAAATATTATCAGACACACTGTGAAAATTTCCTTGCTCTGTAAAACAGCATTTGGGAAATATTTAAAAAAAGAAAGAAAAGTCAAAGGGGCGCTAATAATTCAACTGTACATTTGTGAAAATTGTTTATATTTTATATTTTAGATTATATTTATATTATATACACACACACACACACACACACACACACACACACACACACACACACACACACACACATACACATATATACATATATATAATTTTTGTATACACACTACCAGTCAAAAGTTAGGTCAGGACTAGTTTTAAACGTTTAAAATAAGCTTGCTTACCAATGGTTTTGCACTATAAAATAACTATTTAAAAGTAGAATATCATTTAATGTAATCATTTATTTATTTCAATGATGAATTTTCAGCTTCATTTCTCCAGTCTTCAGAGTCACATGATCCTTCAGAAGTTACTCTAATATTCATTATTATTAGTAGTAGTAGTAGCAGTAGTAGTAGTAATAAAAGCAGTAATGACTGGAGTAATAATTTCATTTTAAACTACATACAATAAGAAAGCAGTTCTATAAAATTTTAATAAATATTTAACAATTTGTTTTTACATTTAGTAAACATTGCATTCATGAACTGAATAATTTTCTTAAAAAAAAAAAAAAGACCCCAAACTTTTTACCGGTTGTGTGTGTGTGTGTGTGTGTGTGTGTGTGTGTGTGATCATCGGAATGAAGAGTGAAGAGTGAAGTAAGGAAATTTTGGTCACTTCTTATTATCTGGCATTTCTTTATAGGGCAGTTTGAGGATTAATAATTATTTTTACGGTCAAGGCTAAGGTTAAGCTTAGTTTAGTTTATGTTCTGGCGCTTGTTGTGATGTTATATCATGAATTATGAAATGATCTTATGTCAATCAATGTTCTCGCAGGGAAAGCAGTGAAAGTATGTGTTTATATATACAGTATATGCACGGGTGTAAATCCCGAGGGGGGTGGAGTGATGTGTTAGCCTCATTCAATAGTCGTTCCCCCAAAGTAAAAATAAAAAATCATGTTCTCTATTGTGAAAAATATATTTATGTATACCTAAAAATATGTGTAAGTCAGGGGTTCTCAACCTTTGTCACTTCGAGGCCCACCTTTTTCTCCAAAAAAATTTTGAAGGCCCAAACTGATTGTCTAGAGAAAATGCTTATTTTAAGCTTTATTTTATTTGGTGGATACACACACACACACACACACACACACACACACACACACACACACACACACACACACACTACACGTTTTACATAAACATAAATAAATGTATATGCAAAAAACATTTTTGTATATTTTTTCATTTTATTTATATTATGTAAATACAAATTTTTACCCTGGATGCATTTGATACATCGAAAAATATACATATAAAAGTCTTTGTTATATATATATATATATATATATATATATATATATATATATATATATATATATATATATATATATATATATATATATATATATGTGTGTGTCTGTGTATATATATATATATATATGTATATATATATATATATATATATATATATATATATATGTATATGTATACGCACACAAGCACACATGCACGCGCATACGCACACACATGTTTGTTTTTGTGAAAAGTGGGGACATTACATAGGTTTCCATTCATTTTATACAGTCCAAACCGTATATTATATTGCCCTCACCCCACCCCACCCCTAAACCCAACCATCACAGGAGACTGTGTTCAGCTCAACTAACGGATTAAACTCATTCTGTAGGATTTATAAGCATTTTGAGAAATGAGGACGTCACCAATGTCCTCACACACACACACACACACACACACACACAATGATGTCAGAATTATTAGCCCCCCTGAGAATTGTTTTTCACAGTATGTATGATAATATTTTTCCTTCTAAAGAAAGTCTTATTTGTTTTATTTCAGCTAGAATAAAATCAGTTTTAAATTTTTTAAAAAACATTTTAAGGTCAATATTATTAGCCTCCTTAAGCAATATTTGTTTTCTGATTTTCCATAGAACAAACTATCGCTCTACAATAACTTGCCTAAATCCCTAGTTAAGCCTTTAAATTGCACTTTTATATATATTATATATTATAAAAATATATATGATAAAAATCTTATTTGTTATATGTATATTTTATATGTATCAATTGCATCCAAGGTAAAAATTTGTATTCACATAATATACATGCGTGTACTTTGTGCATTTAAGTATATAATAAACACAGATGCTGTACATAAAATTTACATAATATTAAAAGGCAATTCAAAGGCTTAACTAGGTTAATGAGGCAAGTTAGGGTAATAAATAAGAAAATCCAACGGCAATGCAGAATTTTACATACAGTATATAATAAAGCGAATATACCTTCCACCTTTGTAGTCTGGTGCATTTTGAAAAGCAATGTCTTCACTTTGGGGTTTGAATGAGCTCTCCAGCTGAATGGTGATTGGTTCAGCACTGGTTTTAATGCGCTTGAGGAGAATCTCCATGACCAGCAGGTTTGATTGGTTTCGATGAGCATACAAAACCTGAATGGCCTCAAAATCAGACGTGACCACAGTATGAGAGAAAACACCTAAAACAGAGAGTCTGAGTCATGTAATGTACATATTATTAGGCATTATATCATGTGTGTGGGTTTGTTCTAACCTGTGTGCATGTTTAACTCGTATAACTGTCGTCCGACGTCTCCTGTCTTCATCTGTGCTGCCAGTGGACATGGGATGTTGCCACGGTGACAAGTCCCACCTTCACCGTTATAAACCCCGCCCATATGCATAATTGAATCAAACACTCTAAACCCCAGCAGCCCATTGGATAGCGGCGGCATGAAGCGAGGATCAGAGGGCAAAGTGTCAGAGGTGAAGATGTACGGGTCGACAGGGTCAGAGGTCATTTTTGAACAAATCTGCTGGAAACATGGAAATATGCGAGATGGCATGAGTGACTTGGAGGATTCACTGTCATGTGAACAAAACACTATAAAACAGGAAGTTTTATGATAGACAGAAACAATGTGACACTTTATGATTATAAGAAGGTCAGCAGCTCAGCTCATCTTTAAATATTTTAGATCATAAGAAAACATATATGAGCAATTCCATGCAAATAACAACCTTGCCCTGGAAAAAAAAAAGTTTTCACCAAAATATGGAAACCATTTCTGGGTTTTATATGTAAGCAAGTATTTTACAGTACTTTAGAAACACTTAAAAATGTCTCTGTCAATGTTTCCAAACTATTCTATGTGATTTACCAAAGTCACACAAGTGGCAATTTCACATCTGTCACATCCATAACGGAGAGATGTCACGTCCATAACGACACTTTTTCCTCATAAATGTGAAAATCTTAAATTAAATAAAACCAATCATTTTTGTTTTTAAGAGAGCCGACTCCGATCCTTTTGATCATCATTTTTTTGGGTTGTGCAGTTTAAAAAAACAAAAATTTCTACAAAGTATGTTGTATTCTGTAAACCCGCAGACTTTTTTTAGTCACATCTATAACGCATGTTTATTTTCCTCATTTAAAGTACAGAACATGTTGACTGATAGATAATTTTCTAATCCTATAACTCTGTGGTCAGTTGTTCTGGAAAATATAAACAAATGTTTCAATATAATGTTAACAAACTTTTTATGCAAATTTATGTTTTGAGTTTTTACTGCAAATGTCACATTCATAACGCTGGAATTGCTCATATACTAATATATATATATATATATATATATATATATATATATATATATATATATATATATATATATATATATATATATTTTTTTTTTTTTTTTTTTTTTAATATTGCACCAAACATTTATCTTTTTTTTTTTTGTTGCCTCATCTAAAGTACAAACTTACCTTTTTTTAAAAAAACAAATATTATAATTGTATTTACTGTAAAATTGTAACCCATGAAACAGTACATGAAACATTTACTAGACTACTGTAACATATATAGTTGATGGCAGAATTATTCGCCCCCTTTTAATTTATTTTCTTTTTTTTTTCAATATTTCCCAAATGATGTTTAACAGAGCAAGGAAATTTTCACAATATGTCTGATAATATTTTTTCTTCTGGAGAAAGTCTTACTTGTTTTATTTCGTCTAGAATGAAAGCAGCTTTTAATTTTTTAAAAGCCAATTTAAAGTCAATATTATTAGCCCCTTTACCCTATATTTTTTCGATTAGTCTACAGAACAAACCATCATTATACAATAACTTGCCTAATTACCCTAACCTGCCTTGTTAACCTAATTAACCTAGTTAAGCCATTAAATGTCACTTTAAGCTGTATAGAAGTGTCTTATTATTATGTCTTAAAATTATTTGATTAAAGAATGTTATTAGTTATTAGGCTAATAACTATGACTTCAACTGTATGCATGTATATATATATATATATATATATATATATATATATATATATATATATATATATATATATATATATAGGTACATGCAAATTTCTAATCAGCCAATTACATGGCAGCAATTCAGTGCATCTAGGCATGTAGACATGGTCAAGACTGCTGCGAACTGAGCATCAGAATGGGGAAGAAAGGTAACCTAAGTGACTTTGAACATAACATGGTTGTTAATGCTAAAGCGTGAAGCATCTCAGACTGGTTTCTTAAACATGACAATGAGTAATGGCCTCCACGTTCACCAGATCTCAATCCAATAGAGCATCTTTGGGATCTGGTGAAACGGGAGATTTCCATCATGGATGTGCAGCCGACAAATGTGCAGCAACTGGGTGATGCTGTCATGTCAGTATGGAGCAAAATATCCGGGGAATATTTCCAGTAGCTTGTTGAATTTATGCCATGAAGGATTAAAACAGTTCTGAAGGCAAAAGTGGGTCCAGCCTGGTACTAGTAAGGTGTACCTAATAAAGTGGCCGGTGAATGTACATATTGTCATAAAATACGTCTAAGATATAAAGCGCTGTGTATACCACGAAAACTGGGTTAACAATACACTGTGTAATACCGTGTGAAAGACTCTCCTACAGTAATAATGCTGTCATTTTAACTCGTGACAGTTACACTTTGATCATCGTGAACAAAATTAAAAGCTTTGTTTGTCAGTGCAAAACTAAGCACCTCTGCATTTTTAAATGATTCACTTTAAAAGGACGATGTTAAACATGTACCAGAAACATGTTTGAGGATAAAAACTTCAGTACTTACTGATGTTTCAGGCTTTTGTTACGCGTCTCTGAGGAATGCAGAAAAGTTTCAGCTCATCTCACATGCACAGAAGCGGACGTGAAGGAGGCGGGGCGACAGTCATGTGACCCCCAAAAGGGCGGGGCTTGCGCATCACCAGCGTCTCTGATTTGTCAGGTAGGTGAGTCTAATTAACTATTCATTAATTGAAATTAAAGCGTGAATATTGAATCAAAGTTGTGATGGCAAATTTATAACAGAGACCATTTCTATCTGTATTACAGATACGCATAAACAAGCACTTTCACTAGTAAAATGTCTCTAAAAAATCACGATATCATTCTCTAAATACTAATTATGCGTAAAAGTGCTTGATTAAATGTAATATAATATAGAACATAATATAATATATAGGATAACATATTTCAAATTATAAAATAGCCCGCCTATGGTTTGCTAATATTTTTAACATCATCATAATTATACTTATTATTGTTGTTATTATTTAGGCCTATGTCTATACTTGTTAAAATATTTATGTCTCATATTAAGATTAAAAACACTTAAATTAGCACTGCATGGCCAGCTATTTTTAGTATAAAATCTCTGCAGAATAATGCGATGAATTGAGAATAATGAAATTGTGAGCATCTGTCGAAACAGGCACGACGGATGTAATAAGTTAATACTGACTAAACGGGTACATTTAAAAAGTAGACATGGACATCTATTATAAATGTCTATGGTTAAAACTGTTTTCTTGTTGTGTTGACCACTAGAGGGATCTCTTGTTGTTCGTCGAGAGCAACTTGAAGAGGTTTAACTCACTCAAACATTAGCTTTCCAGGTTACACGTTTCCATCATGACAGGGGTATAATTTTAAAATAATAGACCTCAAATTTTACAGTAAATGAAAGAATATGTCAAGAGTTTCACAATGTTTATGAATGTGATGTTATAAACAAGAACATTTCTTCAAGTAAATGTTGACTGGTTAGCACTTGAGGGATCTTTTAGCAAATTAGCCTTCAAACTTGCCCTCATGATTGAACAAATGCTATCAATCCTTTTACCAAGAACTTAGCAAAGTTTTTATATTATAAAAGCATTGGAATTGCCTTCTGAAAACAAGTGTGGCTGTAACATAGGCTACACAACACCTTTTCAAAAAATAACCTTGGTGGTTTAGTGTAGCAGAAGTGAATTGGCCATTTTGTTTGGTGCACCATTTGTTAACCACAGTTCTACTACAATTTCAAATACCAGGGCTAAACTATAATTAGTGTTGTAAAACATGTTTGATTTGTAGTCACCTGGTTTGACAACAATGTTTTTTTGGTTTTATTTGAATTAAAACCATGGTTAATTTTATAAGGGATATGATTGGCTAGCTTCTTTGGTTTCTAGAATATTCATTGTTGGTTAGCCAGGAAAGTATTCCTCACTACGTTAGGAAAATATTCTCTGGGTTCTCTACTGATTGTTACGAAGTTGTTCCCATAATCTTTTTACCTGATTTCACAAATATAGCCAAATGGGAAATATGAATGTTAGAGGAACAACACCGTACCTTGCTGAAAAATCCAGCTTAAACCAGCCTAGGCTGGTTGGCTGGTTTTAGCTGGTTGACCAGCCTGGTTTGTTTTGGCCATTTCCAGTCTGGTTTCCAGCCATTTCCAGCCTGGTCTTAGCTGGTCAGGCTGGAAAATGACCAGCCAAATCTAGCTAAAACCAGCTTTACCAGCATGGTTTAAGCTGGATATAGCTGGTTTTGACTGGACTCCCAGCTTGGCTAGGTTGGTCAAGCTGGTTTTAGCTGGTCATCTTCCAGCCTGACCAGCTAAGACCAGGCTGAAAATGGCTGGAAACCAGCCTGGAAGTGGCCAAAACCCCTCTAAAACCAGCCAACCAGCCTAGGCTGGTTTAAATTTGGGTAAATTAGCCTTCAAAATTGCCCTCATGATTGAACAAATGCTATAAACCTTTTACCAAGAACTTAGCAAAGTGTTTATGAAATCAGGGGAATTGCCTTCTGGAAATGAGTGCTCCTAACATAGTGACTTAAAGGACACAACACCCTTTCAAAAATTAACCCTGGTTTTATTGCTGCAGAAGTGTATAGACATGTTGTTGTTATTTTTACATTTAGCCATACTTTTACTACAAATACCACGTTTAAACTATGATTAGTGTGATAAAACAATGCTTAATTTTATCGGTCACCTTGGTTTAATAAGAATATCCATGTTTTTTGGTTGTATATCTGTAGTAAAACCATGGTAAATGTTCATGAAGGATATGATTGGCTAGCTGTAACACAGTTTCTGTTTCTAGAAGATTATTGTTGATTAGCCAGGAAAGTTTTCCTCACACTAATAGAGCTTACTAGGTTAGGAGAACATTCTTTGTGGTTTCTACTGATTGTTACAAAGTTGTTCCCCTAACCTTTTTACCTGGTTTTACAAATATAACCAAATAACCAAATGGGAAACATATGTGTGGTCTGAATGTTCACCATATGAGGATCATTTTGGTAAATTAGCCTTCAAACTTGACCTACAAATTGCCATTTTGACTGAACAAAAATCTTTTTTTCTTTCTTGGAAGTGCAGGAATTTCCTTCAGCAAACAGTTGAAAAAGTACTGTAAATGTGTTTCCAACGTTTCTTTTTTTGTCGAACACCAAAGAAGACATTTTAAGGAATGTTGGAAACCTGTAGACATCCATGGTAGCAAAAATACAGACTTTTCTACATTCTTTAAGATGTTTTTCTTTTTTTTTTTTGTTGGTTGAACTCTCCCTGGGCAGCACGGTGGCGCAGTGAGCAAGAAGGTCGTGTGAATGCTTCCCAGTGATGGGTTGCACCTGGAAGGGCATCCACTGTGTAAAACATATGCTGGATAAGTTGGTTACAGGTTTTCAGCATTCTTCAAAATATCTTCATATGTTTTCCTACTATAAAAGTCAATGGTTAGAGGTTTTCAGTATTCTTCAAAATATCTTCATATGTTTTCCTACTATGGAAATCAAGTTACAGGTTTTCAGCTTTTTTTCAAAATATATTAATTTGTTTTTCATACTATGGAAGTCAAAGGTTACAGGTTTCCAGCATTCTTTAAAATATCGTAATTAGTTTTTCGTACTATGGAAGTCAATAGTTACCCGTTTTCAGCATTCATCAAAATATCTTCATTTGTATTTCCTACAATAGAAGTCAATGGTTACCCGTTTTCAGCATTCATCAAACTATCTTCTTTAGGTTTTCCTTCCATGGAAGTCAATGGTTACAGGTTTTCAGCATTCTTCGAAATATCTTCATTTGTGTTTCCTACATTAGTAGTCAATGGTTACAGGTTTTCAGAATTTATCAAACTATCTTCTTTAGTTTTTCCTTCTATGGAAGTCAATGGTTACAGGTTTTTAGCATTCTTCAAAATATCTTTATTAGTTTTTCCTACCATGGAAGTCAATAGTTACAGTTTTTCAGCATTCTTCAAAACATATTATTTCGTTTTTCATATTATGGAAGTCAATGGTTACCAGTTTTTAGAATTCATCAAACTATCTTCTTTAGTTTTTCCTACAATGGAAGTCAATGTTTTTTTTTTTCAGCATTCTTCAAAACATCTTTAGTTTTTCCTACTATGGAAGTAAATGGTCACAGGTTTTCAGCATTCTTTAAATTATCTTCATTTGTTTTTCCTACTATGGAAGTCAATGGTTACAGGTTTTCAGAATTCATCAAAAATCTTCATTTGTATTTTCTCCTACAGAAGTCAATGCTTACCCGTTTTCAGCATTTACCAAACTATTTTCTTTAGTTTTTCCTTCTATGGAAGTAAATGGCCACAGGTTTTCAGCATTCTTTAAATTATCTTTATTTGTTTTTCCTACTATAGAAGTCAATGGTTACAGGTTTTCAGCATTCTTTAAATTATCTTCATTTGTTTTTCCTACAATGGAAGTCAATGGTTACAGGTTTTCAGCATTCTTCATAATATCTCCATTAGTTTTTCCTACTATAGAAGTCAATGGTTACAGGTTTTCAGCATTCTTTAAAACATCTCCATTTGTGTTCAACAGTAGAAATAAACTCATGATGATTTGGAACCACTTGAGGATGAGTAACCATTGAGTAAATAGTCTTCTCTTTGGAGTGAACTCTCCCTTTAAGCCAAACTAGATGAACATCATCATCCAAGAAGTTTTCCATGTCCTGAAAGAGCTGGATTTCCTCAAGGAAATGTGCCTCTCGATCATGACTCTGTAAACCCTCTAGATGGCACCAAACTCTGTTCCGTTTCCCCTTTGGCTTTGTGCCCGAATTTAGGGTTCCAGACCATGGGAAAAGAGAGGCTTTACCCTTATAAGGCCGCAATCCATCCGCTCCAGACTTTTCCTCTCCGCCCTCTTTTCCTCTTTCTCTCTCTCGGGCCGCAGGGATATTTACAGCAAGACTGGCTCGGCGTACCTTATTAGGAGCTGTCCTTGTTGTCAGTGTATATGTAGATGAGACAAACAGATGAGAGGATGGCATTCGTTCTCAAGGGTCATCCAGTGTTTTGCAGAGGTAACAGAGAGGCAAATGTCTGATCCGTGTGTCTTTATAACGTTTACGTTGCCCTCAAGTTTGTGTGTTATCCTCTCATAATAATAAGTCAGCATTGAATGGATGGCTGTAAAGCTTGCACAGTGTCCAGCTTTACTGTAACTTCCTGTCCTTCTCTCTGTGGGAATGCTGGATCCATTATTACAGCTGTTCTTCTCCTTTTTCCCCCTCTCTTTTTCTTCATCTGATGATGAGGGACATCTGGTAGACATGCACACATGCTTTAGGGAGAACTGGTGAATGATGGGAATGAGAGAAAGACAGAGGCTGGCTGTCCTGATAACGTAATCCTGATAAAAATGAACACACTTGTGAAATGTACACGTTAAAAGTTTGAACATGGACATTTACTGCGCACATTTGTGCTGATTCTTAAAGGGACAGTTCACATAAATCTGTAATTCGGTCACTTGTTTGGGTCACAAAAGAAGATGTTTTGAAGAATGTTGGAAACGGGTAACTATTGACTTTC